GCGGGAAAATATGTCATCTATGAAAAATCTATACTAAACGTTAAAACATAAGTAAAAACGAACCCGAGTGGTGCGAGGGTGAGCCGGTAATCTATACATATAATAAAATTCTAACAAAAACCAAATAAAATAGCGCTATTGTTTTTTTTTTCAAGATAAGCTATTTTTAATAGTTTTTGCCTTATTTAGTTTAGTTAAGTTACCTTGCTAAAATATATATAGTATCATCGTGGTTTTATTCTAACCAATTTTGTATTTTTTCTTAAATGAGATATTTTCCCGCGGTAAAAAGTATCCTATATGTTGACCCAGATAATCAGCTATGACAACACCAAATTTCATCAAAATCCCTTTAGTAGTTTTTCTGTGATGCGGTAACAGACAGACAAAAATTCTGAAAACCATAGATTCGGCATCTGTATCGATAATAATGTCTATTTCAATAAGATTTTCTAAAAAATATTTAATGTACAGATTCGGCTTAGTTACAATTTTATTATATGTATAGACTAGCAGGACCTGCGGCTTCGTCCGCGATCAAACTACGATAAAAACAAACTTTTTCGCAATACATACCTACTTTATTATTTGCAAAAACAGTTTAGTTTCATATTATTTCTTAAAGATAGGTATATAGTATAGGAAAGTAAATAAATTTTCATTTTAGGTATTTAGCAAACTCCACTACATACTTGTATTTTTTGCACATTTTTTTTACTCCATCTTTCCAAAATAAGAGAAAGAGAGTTTAAGATACTACTTTACTTACATACAATATTTACGACTGTAGTAACTCGGCTAATATGGGCTTTTTAACTGTACACTTGAAGCTTATAGTCTCCATCCATCTCCTTCTTTTTTAAGTTATAAAGTGTCATTCTTATTTTACTATAGCATTTGCCCGCGACTACGCTCACGTGGACTAAATTTTACGTGGAAAAAATTTGCTCAGTTTTAATTTCCATTGAATTTATATGTTGTCATATCAGATTTTTAATATTATGTATGTGTTCATTTATGTAATAATTAACTGCCTCGGTGGTGTAGCGGCTAGCATGTACGGCTGCACACTCGGAGGTCCTGGGTTCGAGTCCTCCTGGGTCGGGCCAAGTTTAGTTATTGAGTCTTTCTGTATAGTAAGTCTCAGTAACAGCCCGGAGTTGGGAAGTTGGCGGTGTTTCACCCCCGTGCCTCGGAGAGCACGTAAAGCCGTCGGCCCTGCGCCTTAACTCACACCGGGTGTGTCGAGTGGTCGTCCCACCGGAGTATGAGAGTGACAGGAATAGAGAGTGCACTTGTGTCTGCGCGTACACTTGTGCACTATAATATCTCCTGCGCAGTTGGCTAGTCTCAATGAGATTGGCCGCCGTGGCCGGAATCGGCTAGGAGCATATCATCAATTCTAAAATTCACTTAACTTAGTCTATGCTAAAAAAACCAACCTCAAATATACCACATTGGTGGATATGCTATCTACATGAACGAATTAGTGGTTAATTCGTTCATGGCTGTCTAGTTCTAGGTTCTCCTAATATGTCCCTATCAGAAGCAATCCTCTCTTAAGATTATGCCTGCTACTTTCGACGACTGGCACTGAGATGATTAATGGTCATTGAAAACAAACTTTAACCGCTATAAAAACAAACTTTAAGGAGGAATTACAATCGAGTAAATTTGAAGGCGTAATCAAACTTCCTGGTAAGCGAAGTATGAATACTGATTCCCACTGAGAACATCCAGCAAATAGAGTGACTGCTACAATGTTTTATGAATTACTCAGTCTATAATGTCGTTACATAACTTAGGTGACTTTTCATTACAGGTGTGCCAACCTTCAAAAGAAGGATATAGATAGCAGTATACTCTCTAGGTTCTCTCTCTCGCGCTCTAGGTCTGTTATAGTTATCACTGCTATGGCGTTCTCTACTTTATAGCCCACACATCAAGTTCGCACTTACGAAGAACTTGAGCCATGTTACTTTTTTTAAATATATTCAACGAACTCCTATTTCACCGCCCAGTTTTACCCCTTTAGAGACCAAATTTTGAAAAATTCCAAAATACATGTTTATTTAATTGTACTGACGAGCATTAAAATACTTTTTTACTTTTTTCCCCATGTAAACAGCTCATCCCCCTTTAACCCTTTTGAGGGAAGAATTTAAAAAAAAATATATATTTTTATTGTTTTATTTTTTACTAATGGAAAGCACAAATAGATCTATTCCATGGGAACCGTTCATTTTTCCGGGATAAAAATAGTCTGTTCTTTGACCGGCAATATAAGATTTCAGCATGCCAAATTTTACTAAATTAGGTGCATAAGTTGTTGTGTACTAAGCTGTATAAGTTACTATAGTTTTTTAAAGATCCCACGGGAACTCTTTAATTTCCCGGGATGAAAAATATCTAAGATGTTGACCGGGGATATAAGGTACCACCATGCAACATTTCATTTAAATCAATCCAAAAGTTTCGAAGATTAGCCCGTACAAACAAACAAATAGACAGACTAAATTTAGATTAGAATTAAACAAAAAAAAACTAGATTTGTTCTAGGTATTATTTCTCTTCTTTCATCACTCTATCTCGGTTTTTAGCATTTTTTTTTCTATGTACAGAGATTCGACCTCTACAGTTTTATTATACATATCTATAGATTTTAAAGGTAAATAAATACCATTAATTACAGAGTTTCATACAAACTCTCATTCTCCATTTTACCCTCTTTTGGGATTGACTTTCGCAAAATGATAAAGCACTTATTTATGTAATTGTATCTTCGATCAAAAATACTACTAGATATCGGGTCGGCGTAAAAAATCCGTCTCGGTAAATAAAAGCTCACTTGTAAAGTGAGCGTATATTTCGATTAATTCTATTGAAACACTGCCAGCGTAAACAAGTTCACAATACCGCAATATGTATTTAAAAGTTGCAAAAATAATGCGTGAAGAAGAAATTTTTCAAACGGAGTGCCTTATTTTTGGTAAATACACGTAGATTAAGTCAATATTTTAATATTTAACCTAATACAAAGAAGCAAACAGAAACAAAACAAAACGATTTAGCCCACAAAGCAACAACGGGAAAAACTGCTTTATAGGTTTTTTTTAAGGTTGAGTTTACAATAAAGATTATAAAACTTTCGAAATGATCGTTAGTATATCATGATAATTTGAAGATTTGTCACTTTATTACAAGGTGCTATGGGTTGATTAGGATGAAAATAAAACTATTATAAGACTTTGTGTTGGTTCGTTAGTATATAAACAGTATAAGTACATATTCGCGCGGACAGAATTTAGCTTTGATTTTGTATGTAACACCTTATCTAGTAGTATTGTTGGTCGATGAATTGTATTAAACAGCATTAATACCAAGTTTCAAGTAATTCTTACCATAAATAATTTTTTGCCCATATTAACTTTATTACCCCTTTTGCCCCTTTATGAAATGAATTTCAAAAAATCTAATAAATATATTAATTATATATTTTTATTTTAAAGCTAAATACCACTTTCTTGTGTATATCACATTTAGAATGACAGAGCTTCATAAAATCTTTTATCTCATATTATACCTTCTTAAATCTTAGGGGATCAATTTCCTAAATCCTTTCTTATAGGATGCCTACATCAAATAAGTTATACATTTTCCAAATTTCACGTTTTTAAGAGCAGCGGTTTAGGCTGTATGTTAATCCATCAGTCAGTCAGGATCACCGCAGGATGCACCTCTCCTTCTCAATTCTTCCTTCAGCTGGTCTAACTTTCAGATACAATACATTGCACAGGTAAGACGCGAACACAATAGAAACAATAAATCAGGTATAAAAGAGATATCACAATAAATTGCTCAGACTGAATGTAAATAGGCCATGCGTGTGGTGCCCTCTTGTTCGAGAAATCTTCTCCATTGCTTAATCGCAGATTGAATGTAAGTAGGCCATATGTGTAGCGCCCTCCTTTCAAGAAATCTTTCCCTTTATTACAGAAGATTTCTGACTGTACATTCGTTTTGTCTTCTTCGCGCCTTTCCGCTATTTTTAGTTGACGGTGCATGCAAAAAACATTCAGTCTTTTTCTAAGCCATAGATGAATAAAAAATACTACAAGTTATCTCTATTTATTATGTATGTTATGTCAGATCACAGCAGTGTAGCCAACTTAGGGGTTTTCCCCCCAGATTTAGGGGCAAAAAAGCACCGGGGTTTTTATAGGTATAAAACAAAATTTTAGGGGCTTTTTTGGGCTTTTTTCTTTAATAGCATGACTTAAATATAAATAACCTTAACGACTCTTTTTATTTGTAAACAAAAGTATTTTTTTAAATAATTAACTTTACAAATATGTTATGTGATTATTACATTAATGATAAACAATGAAGCACATTATCCCTAACTTTGACATTTGTAAATGATCGAACTTTTTGATGAGTTAACTATTTTAATTTTTGAATTATTTTATGATAAATATGACATCTAGTGGTGAACTGCATAATGCCTTAACTGGTAACATTTCTGAGTTCGTGCTGGTTAGTTACCAGGGGTAAAAAAATGGCACCGGGTATTTTTTAGAAGGGAAAAATATTTATTCTTTTTAGGGGTTTATGAAGTTTTGGTTAAAGACTTCGAAACATTATATCCCTTTTTTCATTATTTTCTAAGTTGTCTGTGGAATTTAATTTTATTTTTAAATGGTTATAATATGTAAATGCTATTTGTAATCATTTAAAATAAAAAAATATCAGATAAACAGCTATATTTTTAGAATATTCATTTAGGGGGTCTTAGGGGGTTTTGAAATTACTTTTAGGGGGGGAAAATTTCAAGTGTTGGCAGCACTGGATCACAGATGTTATCTTAATTCTTAAAATGTCAAACTAATAATTTGAAAGGGATGTGTACAATTTATAGTAGTAGAAAGTAATTTATTATACCCTCCTCAAATGTTGTAATATACATTTAAAAGTGAATAAATAAATATTGATCCTTAAAAATGAAGGAAGGAGGTTATTCTATATTTCATCAAGAATACATTATAATGGCGGAATAGTAAGTTAAAAGTAAACATACGAAATTTCATTAACAACTAGGTAAGTATGTATGTATATTATTTTATCTCGAAATTTATTTATTTCAGTCGTATGCTGCAAACAGAAAATTTACCGGGAATTTATGTCATACCATCTCATGAAAACTCGTTTTGTAAGTATGTTATGTATTTTTAATAATTTATACCTTACTTTTTAAGTTAATAACTTACTGTAACTTGTAAACTGATTTCGATATTCACACATCATGCACAATAATGAACACTTCATTATTTGTTTTTTAGTATGGTATGGTGTAATATTTGTTCGATCTGGTACATATGGAGGAGGAGTATTTAGGTTCACTCTATCAATACCGGAAAAATTTCCAGACGACACTGTTCCAGTAAGTATATAACCCTTCTTCAAAAGAATTCTTTTAATTATTATATTTATTGTAACTGTATAAAAATGTTTTTATTTACAGAAAATAACTTTTACATCCCAAATGTTTCATCCAGCTATAGATACAACAACAGGAATTCTAAGTCTTAGTGAAGTATTTCCACAGTGGGACAGGAAACAAAATCATATTTGGCAAATATTGAAATATCTACATTGGATTTTTAATAATTTAAATATTAAAGCACCTGCTGATAATGAAGCATCGACACTGTAAGTAGTATACTGAGAAAATTGTTTTAGAAAATCAACATGTAAAAAATATAAAAAACACTAATTTACCTTTTAATTAGTGATTGCACTGTAGCTTACTGCTCTGTATCTTCCTTAACAAAGTATTGCTCTTGTATTTTTATTGTAGACTAATATAATATACTTTAACAGAGCTTTTATATTTAGCTTTAAATATAGGTAGTCTATATCTATTTCTTAGACCTTTTCCTTTTTTTTTTAGATTTAAAACAAACAGAAAGTTATTTATGGAAAAAGTTAAAGAAAGTATAGCATCAAGTATAGAGCATATATATGATGAACCACCAACAGAAGATAAACATTATATTACATTTAAACCTTACGACCCTAACATTCATGAACCAGCCAAGAATGTTATGTTAAAGACACCAGATGGGAAAGAAAGTTCACATGGTATATCATGGGTGCAGTCTGGTACCTATCAATCCTTTTCAAAAGGAGATGCCTCATAACAATTTTTTTTTTCATAACAATTATACAAAACCACCTAGCCATATTTCATAACCTGTGATACAAATATAGTTTAAATTATTTTTTTTTAAATCAACTTAAATTTGAATGATTTCATAAGATATACTTTTGACAATTTTTAAATTATAATACTTACATATTATGTTGATAAAATATAATGTTGAACAAAATAGTTACTAATGATGTATAAATTAAATAATTATTATTGTTACAAAAATATAAATAAATACAATAACATATATCTTATTTTTATTTTATATTACATGTTATTTAATATCCATTATGATTTTTACTAACCTTTAATTAGATCTTAATAAAGTTATTTCTAATGAATATTGGTATACATTAGTAACATTACTGCTCAAATTAATCTTCGTTTCACGAGATACAAAAAATCTGATATTCTTTTTCAAGTCTTTTCAAAGATACTGCATATATGCTATTAATATTATTATTCCTAGGTTTTATTTTATTCTAAAATAAAATTTTGTAATTTAAACTCTTAAACAAAATTGTAGGGGTCATATAATTTATTTTACTTCAATTTATTTGTAATAATCAAATAACACTTTGTCTTTGACAACACAAACTGTGCCATACGGCTCAGTTTGTAATGACCCTACTTGCTGTGCCAGCGCTCGCGAGTTCGAGTCCCGCTGGGGGCATTCATTCGTAATGAGCATAAATGTTTGTACTCCAGTCGTGTGTATTTATATTTATAACTTTACGTTTTGAAGTTTAATATAAATTTCTCACAGATGAGATATTATCCGCAGTAAAAAGTATTCTATATGTTGACCATGATGACCAGCTATTATCATACCAAATTTCATCAATCTCTGTCCATTGTCCAATAGTTTTCTTGTGATGTGTTCCCAGACAGACAGACAAAAAATATTAAAACAATAGATTTGGCCTCTGTGTCGATAATAATGACTATTGTATAAAGATTTTCCGAAAAATATTACATACAATTCTGTACAGATTCGACTCAGCTAGAATTTTATTAAATGTATAGATGTGTATGTATTTAAAGTTATGTATGTGTAGTGTATCAACTATCTAGTATCCATAGTCCATAGACCATAACACAAGCCTCATAGCTTACCATGGAACTAGATAGTGCCACAGATCATATAAATTATAATACTATACTAGGGTGCTGTGTGTTAATATCCCAACATATTATTACCTATTTATTCTAACCCCCGGCACAAAGAGGAAGTTTGACGTGTCTGTGTATCTGTGTCTATCTGTGGCAACTGTGTGGAACTCCTAAACGAATGGACCAATTTTGATGCGGGTTTTTTTGTTTAAAAGCTGATGATCATGATATTTCTTATTAATTTATAAGATCTGTTCACACGTTTAATGATCATCAGCTCATTTCCTACTCAACAAAATGGTATTACTGACTTTCACAGATCCGATTGACTGTTACTTCGATGATATTTCCAAGACATGCTAACCTTGAGCTGATGCTATAGCATAAAGCGTGTTTGGGCTCATAATACTTATTAGTCTCAATGAGAGTTTTAAAATTAGTGTCCGTAAGTAATTTAAAAAGAATGAAATAAAAATAAAAAAATTAAGTGGCCCTCCACACAAATAAAACTCTCTCTTTTAACTTCTTTAAGTGTCTATTAATATTTTGATGATTAGCATCGCCACGTCGGGTAACCGCTAAGTAAATAAAATAAAAAATTAAATAAATAAATGTTAAATTAGTACCTGTTATACATATAATTTGCACTTATATACTTTTGTCATCGTCTCGTCAGAACTTCGATAATCTATAATATCGATAGGTTTAGAAGAAATAAATTTATTTCAAGACACAACTCGAAATCCGCTATTTTTATTTTAATAACATCCAAATATAGTCTATAACTATCACGTTATCAAAGCAAATCTAACAACGTATGAATACTAACTAAATGATAAGAGGGAACCATGAACGAATTAGCTACGAGGGAACAGGATCAACCATTAGGTCAACACACATAGGTACCTAACTGTTCTTTGGGCTTCGCCGCAGTTTGGTAAAAATAGAAACAAAATTTGCATGATTATCTCAAAACGTATATTTTAAATAAATTGTTCAACATTATTATTTAAATTTTAGTCACGGATAACGTATTAGTCTGGTATAGAGTTAATTTTAATGTTGTGTAACTTCACCGCTTCTGGAAACCATACCTGATTTAGTTTGTAATTTTTATTCTTCCAGGTGAAATCTGTCGGTGGTCCAGTTTCTCCATTTTTAAATGTGAAATTTTTACTTATCTCGATGGCAAGTTTAGATCTTATAAGACCAATTCCACCATATTTATCTTCCGCAGGATGATACACCCTACCTGTTTCAGGGAGCATATACACTTTATCAGGGTGAAATTGTGTCATCATTAATTCACCCACATATCCAAATGTTAAGAAATCTATATCAGTATTTTCTTTAGATATTAAATGTGTATAAACAATTGGTACATCATCACACCTTATATAATTTCTTTCTCTACCACATAATGATACAAACGGGAATTCTTCTTGATATCTTCCAGTATTATTTATCCTAATTCTTTTAAAAAAGAATTCCAAAAACTTCTTTTCTTTAAAACAAGATGTAAAATTCTTCATTTTTGAGTCATCTAAAAATAGCTGAAATTTAAAATGGTGAAAGAATCATTTTAAGTATTTACCTACAAAACCGGAGGGTCATTTCTTACAGGTACCTATTGTATTTATTTTCTAAGTTTACTTTATAGTTTATAATGCTTTTAATGAAGATTTAAAGCCTATTATTATTTGTTATGCACCACATTGTACTAAAAGTAAACAAAATTCCATATACGACGAACGAACGAGTAGGTACATAGGTACGTCATAATACATTACAGTACTCGTATAAAAAATTGCATATCCTCACCACGGTAATATTACATATACATTACCGTGTCCTCACTGAGCAGCACAGGTTAAGGATTCATAAAATTAAATGAAAATGGATAGCAAAGTTAAGATGAGTAATATTATTGTTCGGGTGTCAAATAAAATAAAATCCTTGTGATTAGATTTGAAATTTTGAATTGTCGAGACAGTATTCGTATATTTAAATAATAATTTATTAAGACCGGCAGTCATGGCGCAGTGTACAGCATATCCACATTGTCTGACGAGCAAGACGTTCTTGAGCGTAGGCTGTAGTGGTCATATTATTATGTTAGCCCCCGAAATCAACACTGAATTTATACTAGGGGCACTCGGGGCCAGTGCTCAAGGACTTTTCAGGGACGGCAAAATTCGAATGATAAATAAACTTCGCGTTATCGATAATATTTTTTTATTTTCCATAAAAATGATATTTAAAAAAAATAACTATTTTTTGCATTTAACAAAAATAATAACTTTATTGAAACTTTATAAATTTTATGCGAAATTTTGATAATGGTGCGGCATTTCTTACATTGCCCAGGGGTGGCGCTAAGATTGAATCCGGCACTGCCGGAAATATTTATTTAACTGAGTTAAACTGAGTACCTACGTCCTACAGCCAATTGCCAAAACATGTACTCATACATGTATATATTTATTTATACTTTATTGTACACCACAACCATAAAGTATATACAAGTAAATACTAGCATGTACGGCTGCACACTCGGAGGTCCTGGGTTCGAGTCCCGGGTCGGGCCAAGTTTAGTTATTGGGTCTTTATTTTTATTTATTTTATTTAAACACTTTATTGCACACAAAAATAAAAATGATACATGCAAAAAAAGAATACATTTAAAGAAATGTGCAAAGGCGGCCTTATCACTAAAAGTGATCTCTTACAGGCAACCGCTAGAAGTAGGATACAAAAGTTAACAGAAAGCGGAAAGGTGCATAAAGTGTACTCAATAGACGTATTACATATTATAAACATACATAAACAATACATATATAAAATACTATTTATACAATAAATATTTATTGTTTAAATACTTAAACATACATATACATATTAATATAATAAAATAATAATAAACATACATAATATACACATTAATATAATACATGCAACTATAATGACAGCTTAGTTGTAAAGCGACAAATAATGTGTTTTGAGACGCTTTTTAAAAATGCTTATTGACTTGGACTGTCTTATTTCATTTGGAAGCTCGTTCCAGAGCTTCACCGTCTTAATAGTGAAAGATTCACTATAGGATTTGGAATGGACTAATGGGATTTCTAGTAATCTTTCATTGCGAGAGCGAAGCTCTAGAGCGAGCTGGGAACTTGCCCCTAGGAACTTAGTGTTCTTTGAGGTAGGTGGGAGTGTGAGGATGGTAAAGGGTTGTGTATAATAGAGAAAGCGCGTGTAAATTACGTCTATTGTGAACTGTTAGCCATCTCAACTGTGTCCGATATTGCGAAATGTGGTCATACTTCCTAAGTCCAAAAATATATCTTATAAAAAGATTCTGGAGACGCTCAAGCTTATTGGGTAATTGCTGAGATAAATCTAGGTAGCAGGAGTCAGCATAGTCGAGTATCGGCAATAAAAGGGAGTTGGCTAATAATATTTTGGTTTTGACCGGCAATAGGTATTTCCACCTTTTCAAGGTGCCAATAGCAAGAAATATCCTACGGCTAAGTTGGGCAACTTGAGGTGTCCAGGAGAAAGTGCTGTCCATTATGATCCCTAGATTTTTAACACAACTGCTGTATTCTAAATGGACATTATTAAATGAAATGGGAGGGAGGAGAGGAAAATGTATTTTAGAAAGTTATTTAGAATTGCCAAAGACTGCTACTTGAGACTTGCTAGGATTAACACACAAACCAAATGACTTACACCAGGTACTAATAATTTCAAGGTTGAAATTAATATTTCCAATAGCCTTAGCAATGTCATTTACATTTGTAGTCGCATAAATTTGCAAGTCATCTGCATAAAGATGATAGTATGTAGTGAGGTGCTTAGTAAGAGTGTTAATGAAAATGGAGAAGAGTAGAGGAGAAAGAACTCCGCCTTGAGGGACTCCAGCATTAAAACGAGAGCAAGAAGTCCGCTTGCCATCTAGTCTAATGTATTGTTGGCGGTTATTTAGGTAGGAGTAAAACCATTCAGTAGTGAGTGAGGAAATATTTATGGACTTGAGAATGGCAAGTAGGATGTCAAAATCTACTGTGTTAAATGCATTAGAGAAATCTAACAGGGCCAGGATGGTAATCTGCTGATTGTCAAATCCGCGTCGAATATCATCACAGACCTTATTAAGTGCAGTCACAGTCGAAAGCCGGACTGGAAAGGAGATAAGATGTTATTATTATTTAAGTGTAGATATAGTTGCTGATGGACTATGCGTTCAAGGACTTTAGATAAGAAAGGAAGTATGGAAATTGGTCGGTACTGTGAAAATGATGTAGGATTGGATATTAAGTCTTTCTGTATAGTAAGTCTCAGTAACAGCCCGGAGTTGGGAAGTTGGTGGTGTTTCACCACCGTGCCTCGGAGAGCACGTAAAGCCGTCGGTCCTGTGCCTTAACACTCACCGGTCGTGTCGTGCAGTCGTCCCACCGGAGTATGAGAGTGACAGGAATAGGGAGTGCACTTGTGTCTGCGCGTACACTTGTGCACTATAATATCTCCTGCGCAGTTGGCTAGTCTCAATGAGATTGCCCGCCGTAGCCGGAATCGGCTAGGAGAACATCATCATATATATTAAGTATCATAAATACATTAATATTCGCATTGTAGTTCTTATCTAATTAAGCAGATGAAAAACAATAACCGACGATCCAAACATGTAATGGATTTATGTTAATATTAAAATAAAACAAGATGGCATAATGATTTCTTATTTATAAACATACTGAGTTCAAAGGTTGCATACCATTCCTTGATGATCAATATAATAAAAGTATTCCCTAATTTTTGGTTCTGGTTCCTGACCTTGGATATATTTAACAAAGCGTTTTTGTAAGTTTACTTGTTTAGTATATACAAACAAAGATCTGCGAACTGGGTTCATTTTAATGACTAAACTTAAATCATTAATCATAAAGTCTTGTTGTTTTTTGATCTTCTGACTTCTGTCATTTTAATTTTTAACAGCTGTCGCCTGTCAGCTGATAACTGATGGTAAGAAACATAATCAGTCGTTAGCTGCTGCCATCTATTATGTGCCCCGTAAGCTAAAACATTTTAAGAAGACTATCGATTTCTAGTCGAATCGAATCATAGTTAATTCTAAAATAACAATATAAATTTTTGCAAATACAAATCATAATTCGGATAAATACTTCTTTTAATTAAAATTATTTAAGTATTGACTATTATGTACATGCCTACTGCTAAATTGTTGTAATATGCGTAGCATCTCTATATAGTTTGTGGTTGTAATCAATTAATTTTCAAACACTGTAAATACTTATTTGTAATAATAAATAATTTAAGTTATTGCTTGTGATTAAGTAGGTAATAATCATAATTGAATAATAAGTACTTAATAAGAACTCACGACAGCATTTTACAGTGGTCTTTTTTATTTATTCTACCCTACAGTTTTTATACAATTACTTTATGATCAGTGGATATTTTAGTTTTTCAATCTTTGGACTTCATTGGTCAAAGCTAGTAATGTGACTTGCAAGTAGGGTTAGGGAATCTTTTTTTCAATATTTTATTGCATGTTAATATTTATGATTATTCGATTGCGATTCTCCTTAATTTTTCTTAATGGCAATTTTTATACTAATAATTATCATCTGTTTCTGTTACGATCTGTATTTCAATTCATAAATCCAAACAAATATCTAAAACAAAATCAAATAATACAAGAATAAATTAAGTGTAACTACGAAATTTCGGTGAAATATATATTAAACAAACCTACATACAAATAAAATTATATTTTAGAGTTTTTGATACATTCTTTATGCCTGTCAATTTAAGAAACAGTGAGTTCAATTCACACTAAGGTTACATATGCCATATATGGAATGTTTTAATTAAAATGGAATCCTTAAGAAGATCATGGAAATTACGTATGTACTGATATAATACAATAATTAAAATAATTCAAAATGTTTTGTGTATGAAAGCCATTATTTTTCAGAGGAATTTGTGGCTCACAAGGCAAATGTCAACTGCCTGGCCATGGGACACAAATCAAATCAAGTCCTGGCTACTGGAGGTGATGACAAAAAAGTAAATTTATGGGCTATTGGAAGGCAAGGTTGTCTTATGGTAATGAAGCTATATAATTCTTATACATTTTTTTTAAATACTTATATGAATCCCAGTATCAGTTCTAAATGATAATTGCAGAGCTTAAGTGGGCATACGACTCCAGTAGAATGTGTATGTTTTGGACATTCTGAGGATTTAGTTTGTGCTGGATCTCAAACAGGTGCCTTAAAAATTTGGGATTTAGAGGCAGCTAAATTACTTAGAACATTTACTGGACACAAAGGAGCCATAAAATGTATGGATTTTCATCCCTATGGTGACTATTTAACAACAGGTTCTTGTGATAGTAATATTAAGTTGTGGGACACTAGAAAACGTGGTTGTATTGTGACATACTCAAGTCATCGACTTGCAGTGAATAGTCTTCAGTTTAGCCCAGATGGACAATGGATAGCATCAGCATGTGAAGATGGTAGGTGGAATTTAAAGCACTATATTAGTTCAACTTAATAACTTTTATATTACATTATTAAAAAAAAATTACATAAATTTTTTATTCACCAGGCTTAGTAAAAGTATGGGATGTGCGTGTCGGAAAAGTATTACAGGAATTTATTGAGCATACAGCGGCAGTTACATGTGTTAAATTCCATCCACATGAATTCCTGTTGGCTAGTTGTGGTGCTGATAGGACAGTAAATTTCTGGGATATGGAGAAGTTTCAATTGGTATCCAAATTTGAAAAGGACAATACATCCATAAGGTATATTGTTTTAAATTAAAATTGAAAATGACAATATTTTTTTTTATTTACTTGAACAATAATGTATCCACCATACTAATATTATAAATGTGAAAGTGTGTTTGTTTGTCCTTCTTTCATGTCAAAACGGATTGGTGTGATTTTTTTGTATGGAGATAGTTGGAGGGAAGGCTTGAGAGTGACATAGGCTACTTTTTACTGTGGGAGATTATCTAATTCCCACGGGAAAACATCTTATAATACAATCCAAAAAAATATAAATATATATATATTTATGATCAGAATTACTTGGTATTAATTAACTTGGTATTAATGCTATTCAATAAAATTAAATAAATATGTGTTTTAGCATTCTTCGAAATTCATCATATAAGGCGGCTAAATAAGGGATGACAGTTTGTATGAAACTACCTACCTTTTTAGAGACTTTGCAGTGTTAGCGCGAGCAAAGCCGCGGGTTCTGCTATTTATTATATACTTAAGGAAAATAGAGTCACATTTTTTAATATGATCAAATGCAGTGGCAGCTTAATGGTAACGGGTTTTGGGAAACCGTGTGATGTGGGTTCAAATCCCGGGTCTTGTACCTCTGCTATTTTCATGTGCAAATAATTTCCAACATGATTACGACTTGTCTTACGGTGAAGGAAAACATCGTGAGGACACATGGATGTCTGAGAAAACCTAACAAGTTTTCGAAAGACATGTGAACTCTGCCAACGCGCACTTGGCCGGCGTGGTGGACTATGGCCTGATCCCCCTTGTATTTAAGGGAGGCCCTTGCCTAACAGTGGAATGTAAAAAAGGGCTGAATACATATATTTAATTCCTATTTTCATTATTGCAGACATATGACATTTAGTGATGATGGTGCCACTTTGCTTGGTTGTGGGAATGATGGCCTGCATGTTATAGGCTGGGAGCCAGCCCGAGTACTTGATACAGTGAATGGACACTGGGGCCAGATTCATGACATGACTGTTGCTCAAACACAACTTGTAAGATTCATTATATATTAAATTTAAAATTTAATGTTTGTATATTGAAATGTAAGAATTTAACACAGAAAACTTGATTATTAATGTATCTTGCTGAAAGCTTGAAACCCAAATAATATCCTTGTCTCTATATAATATGAATAACGTGATACTAATACTTTCTGAGATTTACGCGAATATTTGACATTTTGAATAAAACTATTTTTTCGGATTATTTCGCGGATTTATTTTGATTTTTGGTTCCCGACATTTCGAATGCTTTACAGCATCCATGGTCACGGGAGAGACTGAGGTATTACATGTCTTGAAGGCATAATTAACAAAATGAAAATTGCAAAAATTACCTTACAATATGTTTTGAACTTTAATCATTTTTGTAATTTTAATTAGTTTTATAATTGAATATGGAATATTATTTATTTAATTTTTGCTGTTATTATTATAATTATTACAATTTTAAAAATATTAATTATAATATATTATTACTTAGTAATCTATATTTAGTGTTGCCATTATTATATTTATAACCATAAAGAAAAATATAAAATTATATATAACTATTAACTATACCTTCAAGACATGTAACACCTCAGTCTCTCCCGTGACCATGGATGCTGTAAAGCATTCGAAACGTCGGTAACCAAAAATCAAAATAAATCCGCGAAATAATCCGAAAAGATAGTTTTATTTAAAACGTGATACTAACTTGTAACTTTAAACAAAAAATTAGGCTGAATAAGGTATGTCCAATTTCTTTGTATAGGGTGAGGCAGCTGTACTTCTGTATATATTAAAATATATGCTCACAGATTGCAGGATCTTTCCACTCAACATATGTTGTGTTATCCGTTGTGGATCTGAGCAAAGTGCATCCGTTCGGTGGCCCGCCGCCCGCCGCACCCACTCTAGTCAGAGATCTTTCGCCATTCCAAAAAGGACACTCTGTTCGTAAAAGTTTTTCTAAAGAGAAACCTCCAAAAGAAGGTTAGTTAAAAATCTTATTTTAATATCTTAGTAGATAATATCACTTAATTTTCTAAAGATATTATGTTAGTATTCCACCAAAAATTATCATAAAACCACTTCATACAATATGTTGTATCATACAAATAAAAAATAAATAAAAATATAACTGTATGATGAAGTAATTATGAAGATTATTTGTATGTATGTCATTGAGAGTATGTTGCCTGCCATTTAGTGCTCCTTTACTTAATAATAGGTTTTTAACTATGAAGTTGCTGTTTTACAATACTGTAAATTCTAAATTCAAATGATTTTTTTTTAAAAGTATAGAGTTCTATCTTCATATTCAGTCATTTGTTTATTGATTAGTGTTTTTCATTACATTTGTACCTTTTTCATGAATATTGACACAAAGTATCAGTAATTAAGTAATATGAGTTCCGATGCGATAGCAATGCCGCACAAACGGCTCGCAACATTAATGACATATATGGAGGGAACACTACAAACAAACGCACGACTCGTTATTGGTTTACACTTCCGACATGGAAATTTTGATCTAAAAAATTAACCCCGTGGTTGTCCGAAAAATAAAATCAAGGACGAATTGAAGGCGATAGTGGAAGCTGACTCTTACCAAATGGCACCAGCATTACTGCTCATGTGTACTATCAAGAACTGGACACAATGATGGAGAAGCCCGCAAATCTCCAGCCAGCCTTGGTTAATTGCTCATACGGCACAACAGACGGTCTCTAAGCTACAAGAGCTAGGGTTGGAAGTTTCGCAATATCCACCGTACTCACCAGACCTTGCGCCGATGGACTTGTACTTTAGACAATTTTTTGGCAACGAAAAAAAACAATACCCGAGAGGCAGTACAAAATGCCTTTAAAGAGTTTGCTGGTTCCAGCATTGAAAAATTGCCACTGCGCTGTCAGAAATGCGTCGATAGCATGGGTACATATTTTGAATATAATATATATTCAAAATAATAATTTTTTTTTATAAGAAATGACTTTAACTTTCTGTATATTAAACGGCAATTTCATAGATTGTTTTCTGTTCATGTTCATGAAACAGATTTCACATCTCTTAGTGCAACAAATATATTTTATTTATTCTAATATAAATTAAAGTATCTTTAAAATCTGTGATATTTACATTAAAATAAAACATCCATATAAGTAATATTCACAGTTTAATTACTACTACTAATAGGTACTATCTCGATATTCACTACCTTGTATTTATTTGCATTTATATTGTTTATTTAAGTGCTGCACAGGCCCACATTGCTTGACGAGAAGACCGCGGAGGAGTCGACGTCGGGCACGGAAGCGGACGAAGATTCAGGTGCTGTTATACCTAATTTTAATGACTACACTGAAATTTTCCGACCATCTAGAGCATGTGAGTAGTTCATGCATAGGCTATAATAGGGTACATGAACAATTTATCACTATTAACTATATACATATTATTTATTATTTTCACTGTATTTATTCTTATTAAATAACTAAATTTCCGCATAGAATGAAGATATCAAAAAAATTTTAAGATAAATATTCTACATTAAATTCAAATAAAATAAAGGGTCGTCACTCATTTAATTTCTCCATGAGTCTTTGTAGTTATAGTGGTTATGAAAGTATGTTTTCAATTTGACTGTGTTTTTAAGTAGAATCATGTACCCTTGTTATATAATTACGTATACTACTTTTAATTAAAGAAAACTGTTCTTGTACAGTGACAAGGACTCCGCCGCCAGCGACCAGTTTATCTTCGGAAGACTTTACAGTGCTAGGTATTATACTGTTCTCCAATTTCTTATATCATTTTAACAAGTAACTTGTTTGTCCTTGATTTCAAAAAATGTCACTTATATGACTGTAAAGTCAAAAAAGACATTAAAAATAGTCTGTCTGTCTATTTGTTTATATCATCGCAAATCACCATAACTTTACTGGAAAGAGTAAGGTTACTTATAATGCTATAAAGTTTATGCGGATTAGAAGAAAAAGGGCTTGATATGTGTAAGTAATAATTAAGGTTATATTGTCACTATGTGTACTAGCTATGAAAATTTTTCATATGAATGTCTTTTGGTCGATTTTAACAAGAAGGAAGTACTTTTAATTGGGATGTTTGGTTTTTTATTTCATGACTCGATTTTTCCCCCTTTGTAAAATAATCTTCATGACTTTTTTAATGATCACATTTTGAAAAAAGATTTCACTTTTAAAGGAAATAAATAGAATTACTTTTAAAATGATTTTAAAGTCGGTGTAATTTTTTAAAATACAATTCGTTTCACCACGTTTTATAATACTGACAATGCGAATATCATGATAATGCGTCCTCTGCGCATATTCAGCGCGGATAAATTGATAAAATACAGATACAAATGCGTGACAAGCGCTAATGCGATCACACTGCGGACGCGTGTCTCCAGCGCGTTAGACTCGTCATGTGCATGTGCCCTTAAGGAGTCTGCCCACTACACCGTTTCATACCATGACCGTGCTAGGACCGTGTCAGGCAAAAAATTTTTGTATTAAAAAGTATGAGAGTCTGCCCACTAGACCGCTCCGTCACCGACCGGCAGCGTCGCGTGTCGCGCACGGAGCGGTGACAATGGCGGCGCAATGGTGAGCATACGCAGCGCTAAAACAGTCCGTGCCGTGCCTGATACGTTCATAGCACAGTCATGGTATGTGACGGCTATATCCCCACACGCGGCCCGCAGGCGCGGCGGCGGGCGCGTCGCTGCGCGAGCTGTCGCCGGAGCGCCGCCGCGAGCTCGCGTCGCGCACCCCCGCCGGCCCGCACGACCGCAAGCCACACATATACACAAGTAATCGTACATTTATTGTAATTGCTCTTGTACACACGTCACACACATACATTTATTGTTATTGGACCTCTGTGGTCTAGTATGTACGGCTGCAAATTCACAGGCCCTGGGTTCAGATCTCGAGTCTGGCCCAATTTAGTTACTGAGTATTTTTTCAAGAAATTCTTAGCAACAGCCCGGAGGTGAAAGTTTGTGGTGTTTAACTCCCGTACCTCGAACATCGGAACTTGTCGCGTCGGTTCTGACTCTGATCTCTCACTGGCCGTGTGGAACACATATTTCATGATAACGTATAGTAATATGTCATGGAATTTTTGAACATCATAGTAATTTAACCAGTTGTACTAAATGATTATGAAATACGAACTGGTATTGCTAGTTGAACTGAACTGGCTTAATTTGGTACATAATTTATTATTGGATGGCTTAAGTAGTCTAGCAATAACACCAGTATTAAAATTAAGTGCAGAAATATTATATATATACCAATAAAAATAAATATGACTAAATTTTCACAGGAATAATGGACAATAATAAAGAAGATGTAATATTTAATCCAGTGCAAAGCCCCGTGAAGGAATTCACCAGCAATGCTCACACAACCAGCTCATTAAATAGACATAATTCTTATAAAGAAACTAAATCTACTACAGATTTATGTAAGTATAAAAACTCCGCGATATATCTGTTACCATATCTTAAGTTATTTTTATATTAAAAAACTAATTAATTCTTTAATTCAAATACATATATGACTATATTGTAATACAACGACTCACCCTCGCTTTGCTCGGGCTCGTCCCTAGGTACGAGTAAAGTGGGTTCAAATCTCGGGTCTCATACCTCAGGTATTTACATGTTCGAGTCATTTTCAATATGATCATCACTTGTATTACGGTAAAGAAAAACTGAGAGAACCTAGCAAGTTTTCGAAAGACTTGTGATGTCCGCCAACGTCTCATTTTTAAATTTTATACTTCAATGCATTCACACTGCTTGAAACTAAATATTGTATATTATGTATATAATGTATAAATATTAAACTAATATTAGTCACTTTTTGTTTTCAGCTGCCAATAGTTTAAGGCAGAGCAACAGCGAGATGTCGCTCGGGCCGCCGTCGTTGGGGCCGCGATCGCTCTCATTCACAAGGTCGCCCTCTCAGAATGCAAGGTAAATCTTTTTGTAGTGCAAATTTTTTTTTCGTATAAGACAAGCTATACAATGGAAAAGAAAGACATGTACATTATGATACTTTTTCAATACAAAAAATCATTGAATATTTAAATAAAATATAGTAAATTAAATAATATGTATGTACTATTTGTGTAAAAATTCTTAGCCTTATTTGAAATTAAAAACTTTTTTGCAACAAATCTTCTACAACATATCCCAAACTTCATTTTGTATTCAATAGTTCAGATGGATGGTTTAGACAAGCATAAAAGATGAAGATAACATTCACTATTTAAATAGGTATATTAAATTATATATTGTATTTTGATATAATATTTTTATTAAACAGGACGCGTACGGAGAGTGGGCCGGAGCGCGGGGCGGAGCGCGAGGCGGAGCCCGAGTTCGTGCCCTACTCCATCGACCGGCCCGTCGGACTCGACCTTGACGAATTCTTGCCTGTATGTTCATCAATTCTTTATTATCGATAAAATTTGAATGTCACATAACTTTATGCTATTTGTCTTATATTTAATGTATAGAGATCATACCGCTAAGCTCTCGGGTTCGTATCTAGTTACGTTTTAACGTTTAGTGTAGATTTCCAAGAGAAGAGATATTTTCCCCAGTAAAAAGTATCCTATATGTTCACCCGTAACCAGCTATCATCATGCCAAATTTCATCAAAATCTGGACAGTGATTTTCTCGTGAAGCTTTCCAGACAGACTCAAAAATTCTAAAAACTATAGTGCGGACTCTTTTGAAAATATTTTCCAAAAAAAAAATGTACAAAATCAGGTAGAATTTTAATATATGTATTGATAATGGTAAAGAATGGATAATTAAAAAGTTATAAAGTTCCAATAGAGATTTTTATTTATTATTATTAACTAGTGGCTTGCTTCGTTCAGATGCGTCCTTACGTGCCTGACAGTAGCCTATGTGTTACTCCAGGTCGATTGACGCAGTTTTCAATGTGTTTTCTCATTCTCAGAAGCTTCAATTCGATTTTTTTATTTCGTGACTTCTAGGCGTTTATTGTTTTTACTGCTGTCAGACGCGCGAACGATGGAAATGATCGTCAATGACTCGGTAAACAATCAATTGGCAACTTCAATGGCTCCTGTCAATGAGCATCAATTAAAATTTTCATGAATTGCTTTCAATCACGTAACTGCGATCGACAATCCCTTTAATTGTACTTGTAAATAATCAATAGCAATTGACAATACCGTAAAATTGACAATTGCGATTCGTCTCGGATCCGCTTAACAATAAAAAGGCACACACGTCTAAACAAGTGTGTATATTAGGCATGGAACATTTCACGAGTAGCAAGTGAAAAATCACATGAAATGCGTTATCATACGTCACACCTGCTACTTAAATTCACAGTGACTGCTACAAATCACCATAAACTTTATAGTTGATTTTTGCCTCTTCGGCTTGTGCAAATCGGCAGATTATTGAATTGGACACTTTTCAGGATGTGACTAGCCTACCACACCTTAATCTGACGGTTTCAAGTATTTCTACCTTATCAAAACATTTTTTAAATATTTTAATCGGCTTCCCTAGACGCGCCCCTTTATATAGAAGACTTATATTATGGTGAAAGTACTCAATAGAGTGCAAGGTAACCTCTTTTATGTTAATCTGCCGCGGTCGAGTAACTACAGAAAATCCCCTCTTGGGCTCCCCTACTAATACTTCATTTTAATAGCAAATAATATAAAGTGTGACACCAGACCGTCGAAATAAAAAATCATTGCCTGTGAAAAGTAGCAGGTGAAATCACGTGATCGTTTTATCATATGATAATGATTTAAAAGTAGCAATCATTTCCATGCTTAGTGTATATGCATGAGTGTGTGTGTCACCGTGTATACACATGATACAAACGTACACATGATACAATTTCGTAAGTGTAACAGTAGTTCTATGTTTTAACCGCAGCGCGGAGCGGGGGCGCGCGCGGCGCGCGGCGGCGCGGCGCCCAGCGAGCAGGAGGTGCTGGGCGTCATGATGCGCGGACACGACTCCATGATGGCGGTGCTGGCGGCGCGCCAGCGCGCGCTGCAGGTGGAACCACTTTTACTTACATAATAACATTGTAGCTCAGTATTGTCAAAATAGAAATTGATTTCCCTATAAAAGTTTTAAATCCAAATTCAATATTGCTACGGTACTGGGATACGACGTTCTTCGCCGGTGGCGATACTATCGTTCGGCTCCTTTTAATCTCCCGCTGCTGGAGACGGACCTCCCTCGTATTGAATACTTCAAGGGAATCCGGTGACACTCCACCGTGCTGGTAAAGAGCGAATTCTCCGACTTCACATGCTCTTTTGAAAATATTTAGGTCTATTAGGTTTTCTCCCGACATTTTTATTTACAATAAGGCATACCACTAAAACATACTATACTTACTGACTTTCTATTTCCTGTCATCCTTTCTGTTCATTTTATTAAACCAACTTTATAGGGACAACTGTTGAATTGGTAAGTATGAATGATCAGTATCTTTGGATTTAATCGACCTAATAAGATAGTTCTAAAATAATTACGAAATACAACTCTGCAAAATGATTGATAAAGTACCCAGATACTTACTTCATGTATAGATATAAATATTTATATGGTTGAAACAAAATGTCAAGCGGAACAGTTATACTCAACATAATACACAACACACAAGCAAACAATAACACAAGCAATTATTTTAATAATTATATTTAGAAGACTTTTTTAATAACATATATCAACAATTTCATTTTCAGATATTTCATTCTGTAAGAATAAACAAGAGTTTAAAATCAGCTTTAGAATCTGTGATTGCCTTAGAAGATGCTTCAGTGATATTAGATATTCTCAACGTGATGGCGCACAAACCGTACGTTTTCAATTTTACTTCTTGTTTTGTTAATATTTTCTTTACTGGCAAATAATTATTGTTAGTACCTGTAAAGTAATAAAATTTTCTTTCTTTCAGGTCTTTATGGAACTTAGATATTTGTCTTCTAATGTTGCCCAAAATATATGAATTGTTACAGAGCAAATATGAATCGTAAGTATAGTTTTTTATATGCCTAATTCTAGTAAAGGCAAAATTAAATCTCTGTTTATTCTTGTGTTGTCATATAACATATTTTCAATAATACTATAATACAGTCTCATTAATAAAACTACAGTAGGTTATCGGCCTTATATCTTAAAGGAAAACGGTTGCAAGTTGCGGTTCACTTCCTTCCAAACTGTTATATAAAAGTCCGTAAGACAGTCTGGACGCTCCGCGCAATAGCTCCGTCTAGATGACTCCTTTAGGCCCTTTCCTGACTTAGCGGTGCTGTATCGGTGCAGTAAAATACGCTCGGTAAAATTCTTACCGATTCTAAGCCGAGTGCCTATATTTGAATGCAAGCTTTCTGAATGGCGCGGGCTGCGCGGCTACGGGGCGGTAACACGCGGCCATACTGCGTCGCAGCCTAGATCGCAGTCCCTAGATTTTTTCAAGTTTCTGCAAAATTTAATTGTTTTACACCGAAAGCATACCGACAGTATACCGATAAGTGAGGAGATTTTGCCGACATCAGTAAGCTCTCGGTAACGTAGAAAATACCGCATACAGATACCGCTCCGCCAAGTCAAGAGGGGGCCTTACGACAATATGAATTAGCAGACTGTAATAATACTCGTTCGTTGAACCATTTTGAATGAGATTATTCTCTATATTGCACAGGTACATGCAATGCGGGTGCAACGCGCTGCGCCTGATCGTGCGCAACTTCTCGTCGGTGGTGCGCGCGAACGTGGGCGCGCCGGTGCGCACGCTGGGCGTGGACATCCCGCGCGAGGAGCGCTACGCCAAGTGCGCCGCCATCCACCGCCTGCTGCTGGACGTGCGCGCCTTCCTGCTCAAGCGGCAGACGCTGCAGGGCCGCCTCGGCGCCGCCTTCCGCGACCTGCACACGCTCATGCAGCAGGGGCTCGACTGACTACCGACCGCCACGCCGCAGCGGACTGCTATTTCTCTCTATGATATGCCCTTCTATTTTATTTCGAAAGGTTAATTCGACTAATATTGAAGGGAAAATGAAATACACTGGTCATGACGATATAGTTTCTTGTAATATTTATTTTAAAGATATAATTGAATTTTCTTAATGAATTGGCTATGTGGCACGAACTATAGACGTTAAAAGTATTTTGCTCAGTCTTCTAATCCTCGAGACCATAATAGCCCACCGTTTACGTACGGCCTCGTCTGGTGGATTGATAAACGAACAGTCGCGCTTCGACTAAATTGTATACATATTATGTAGAAAAGCAACCACTAGCTGGACGGATGAACACGAACAGTAACCGACCGCACGAATTCTTACATAATTGAAAGAAAAAAACTCCGGTAAAAACCCATAAGTTATAATATTACCCAATCTGAAGGATATGCACCCTGAGATTGGCCGTGAGTCCAGGTCGTGACCTGAGTGTGGTCAGAACTCGTGCGATCTTCTGGGATTAATACAATTAATACTACTAACGAGTTAACTTTAGGTATACGAGTATGTAACATATTATACGTATTATTTTATTAGTACTTTATCCCTTGTATATCACACTAATAATAGAGTTGTATATTATTCTCAACACTGATTACACTTAAAATTGCATCTGTGCTACTATGCTACCCTCATGGACATAAAAGTGCCTATTTAGTACATTTATAGTTCCAAAATTATGAAGAAATGTAAATAACTTTAAAAATACGACAAATAATCTCATATTATAACAAATTGAATTAAAAACTAAATAAATATAAAATGGAAAATATCAATGTGTGCTCATTGTCGCTATAAATTTGGATTCAATATATCTAACCACTACTGTAAATCATGTACTGTACGAAAGATTCCGTCGTATTATCACGATTGGCATTTAGCACTGCTTGCAGTCATGTCTTTATAAGATTAATAATTAAAAATGTTTGGTTGTTGCGTGATAAATATTACATGTATACTGTTACTATTTATATATTATATGAATGACATGAAAACAGGCAATTCTTACTTATGGACTCACTACTTATAATATTGACTTTGTTGCACTTGTTTTACTGGTATGTGGATTAGGTAATTCTTAGAAGTTTTAGCATAAGCGATGAACTTGTGCAAGCAATATATTATGACTTCAGCGAGCGCCAACTCGCGTTTATATATTCTATCTCCTTGAAATTATTTATGCGTGAGAATATATCAAATTTAATAGCGAATACTAAATTAAATCTCAATTATTGATTTTCTCATATCATACTTAACTATAATATTATCACTAGAATGTGAAGGTTATTATTATGTTAGACTAGCGGCTTCGCTCGATTTCGTCCCTTACGTTTTGGCGTTCAGTATAGATTTCTCAAAGATGGGATATTTTCCTGCAGTAAAAAGTATCCCCTATATGTTGAACCGGATAACCAGCAATCATCATACCAAATTTCATCAAACCTGTCTAGTAGTTTTCTCGTGATGCGGTAACAGATAGACAGACAAAAAATCTAAAAACTATAGATTCGGCCTCTTTATCGATAATAATGACTACTTCAATAAGATTTTCCAAAAAATATTTAATGTACAGATTCGGCATAGTTACAATTTTATTATATGTATGGATGACATATTCCATAATTGATAAAAGTTATAAGAAATAATAACAGTACTGAGTACATATACAAAAATCTATATTGCAAAACATTTCAATTCCAATAAAAATACTAGGAAAATGTATTGCCAAGTTATCTCAAATATCATTTACAACTACATAATTGTCTGGCTTTTTTTCTTATTTAACTTTGATATACTAAGTATGATAACTTTTTTGGGTAATAATAGGTTTTTTATTCTATAACATCATTTATTTAAACTTAAAATAAAACAGTTAAGAAACATTAAGTTATATTTCCACTTAAAACTGCTAAGATTTAAAATCATGTGGTGAAAACTCGTTAATAAATATTGCAGTGTTTTTTTAGGTTACAGTAGGTAAGAATGGTCTTTGAATATTCAACTATTTTACTAAGAACATTTATAATAATTTGTTGAAATAATATATTCAATGTTTATATCTTAGATTGTGAAATGTGAATGATGCCATATTTAAAATCAATCACATTATTTTTAATCTATGCAAAAAATGATGTATGTTATGAGCTTATTTTATTGGCATGTTTATAACTATGAGTATACTCTTTGATTGGCATTAAGCATATGTCAAAGTAAAACCATTGTTATGTTTTTATTTCTACTGAATACCGACCAATATCTTTAGTCCTTCGTGTCTTCTCCATTCCATGTGACATTGATGATAATCTGTGCTCAACTGGCTTGCTTTGAAACTTGAAACAAGAGAATTGAATTGAAGTTTGTATTTCTTTCGTTAAAAGTAAATAAGCTCAATATTTAAATTTGTATTATTTTGTAAAAGTTTAAAATGCTTACTAAGTTACTGTTGCCTATATCTGGTATTTTTTTGATAGTAGTTAATAATAATTTATACACATTATTGAAATAAAGACAGCATTGGTAAGTAAGTAGACTGACTCTAAAATAATAATTTTTTTAAAGTGTTACTTATTAAGTTTATAATAAAATACTAAATATTTTTATTATTTTTTTATTTCCATATACTGGTTGTTTAATAAAAATATATAAACAACTATAATAATATATTGATTCTAGTATTATATCACCTAATCTGTTTAACAACCTAATTTAATTTTTTAAATAACAATGTTAGGTAATTTAAGCTACAGCTAATCGAAATAAGAGAAAAGGCAAATTCTGTCTAAATAATTCTAAAAGAAGTGAAATAAAATATTTTATATCTATCTTTATTTCCTACATATTAAAAACTGTCAGATGGATTTGTAGGGATTAAGCCATTACTGATTACACATTTAGTATTTTTTCTTAACAAGATGAATAAATTGTAGCCATGGGACTGAATGGGGATGCCAATCAGACATGCTCTAATTTGTAACTATAGAGGTCATTAAATATAACTTACATTAATATTAAAACCTTTTATTTAAATTCAATTTACTTTGTAGAAAATAAAGTTCATTAACAAGTAAATTTAATACATAATCATACTTGTTGATACATTATTTTATAAATATACTTGCATAATTATAATTTTTCACATAAAGTTATTGATATTTTTTTACTTCCTTTTCCTCTTCACATTATACACATTCGGGCTAGGAAGTTGTTTCCGTTTATTGAGATTATTCATCGTTTTGGCTAAAATTTCATCAGAAACATCCTTTTGCATTTCACTATCTATATCTTCATTTTTATTTTCGAAATCCATTAATCGCTCTATTTCAGGATTCATGCCTTTAAAAGATACTCTGCCTTCCATTAAATCTTCACAAAATATAAAACTAGATTCTGAAATGTAATTACCAGTAGCATGTCGCATTTCGTTTGTAATAATATTAGAGTACAAACTCTCATGGTCTTGTGTATTTTCTAACTCTTTTTCTATTCTTTCTTTTGTTTTCTTCATAAATTTCATGTCCAAAACAGATTTTGGTAATTGAGGTTTTTTTCTCGTAGCCATTGCTTTTTTTTAAGCTATAAATATAATAGATTTATTTTAATGATTATTTTTATATAGGTACCTAACTATTGGGATTAATATTCGTCACAAACCAGGAACAAGTTAAAATTTAAAACCGCGTTTTGAACTTTTGATTACCGACCATTTGGCATTTACACCAAATTTTTGAAATACTTCAATTCAATTGATTGTCATTTGACTTTGTCAGTGTCCACGACAGTGTATAAATTGTTTAAATGTCACTAGCGTAAATAAATCATGGGGAAGAATTTTTCCCTTTTCTCCCGCCAGACATCGCGATCACTATAGCACTCAGTATATTGTAAACTTAGAGTATACATAATATGCTATAGAACGCGCGTATCGCTCATTGTCCATTAAGCGAAACGAAAACAGATGTTCTATACACACCTATTGATACATATTTGTAGATGAAGCGGTTGAATAGTGATGCGCCTAGTTAGACTATTAGAATTTAATTAAAAAAGAAGTATATTTACATAAACTATTTAACGTCATTTTTCCCCGATACAACCATTACATAAAAAAACACTCGTAATTCAAATTATATTATACCGATTTAAAATGTTTTTGCGATTTTGGGTTTTTAAATAATCTGAGCATTTATGACAATATGTAAAATACACTTTTAACTATTGATGAATTATAAATAAGCTAACAATATATGAGTTTTAGCTGAATATTTACTAGTTGTTGTATTATATTGATTTCTAACAGTACCACGGTCTATATTTACACTAAATTTGAAACACTATTTTATGAATATACATGTAATCGCACAAAACCATTCTTTGATTTATTTATATTAGTTGTTAGTTACAATCAAATTCAAAACTTTATAGCACTCGCGGCTCGTTCGTTATCGTATTTGTTCGTCGTTCGTATTTGTGCAGCTCTTCGCGCAATTTTCAAAACAAACATCCGAGTTATAATGTGTGGATTCTTAACAAAAATAATACTAAAATACAGAATAGTCCTTACTTTAAAAACATGCACCAATAAAACTTGAAAATAAGCCACTGTAATTAAAATTTAGATGGATTTCTTATAAGAGAGAAAAATTGAGGTTTATTTTTTAGAGACGCTCGTGTTGCATTGTAATTAACGTATTTGTATATAAATTTAGCTTAAATTATAAAAGAACAAGCTAAGCATTATCACATATATGAAAACTTAACACTTTTCATCAAAATACTAAATATTTAAACATGTGAATTGTGAAGTTGACTAAAATAATTTACTAATAATATTTATATGCGTAGTGATGCACCCATGTACCCTACAACACTAAAAACTATCGATTATTTTTGTGAACGGCTAAGTACACATAAACACAATTACAATTTTTATATTTGTTTATAACATTAAAAAAGTAAGTATTTAAACAATCAAAATAGGTGCAATAAAATAATGTAATTTTTGGACAAATTAGATTCAAAATCAATAAATAAAGTGTAGTTTTTATAAAAATATGACATAAATAGGTTTATTATTATAAAAAATCTATACATGCGAGAGTTCAAGTTTTAGCACGCAAGTTTGCTAGCTCTCGTAGCATGAAAAAATTAATGTATGTATTTTATTACATTATGCAATATATTACGAAAAAAAATAACTTAATATATTGTTTATTCATCTACAATACTCTTTTCATGAGTAGTATAACTTAATTTGTATTTCTATGACAAATAGAGACAAATTTTGTATGTAACAAATGCCCGTAGCTAAAAATATACCATATCTCAAAGACTACTCACATACCTCTTCCAATAATAATTAACGTTAAAAGTACATAAAAAGAGAAATGTATATCTCAATTTAAATCTTTATACTGTTTGTATGGTGTTATTTTTCACTAGTTTCATGTAGTTTTATATACCCCTATCTTTTTATTTTTAAAATAATAATTTTAAAATGAGAATTTTAATAATATAGCTCTTATAGTTTTAGTTTCTTCTAGTGTTGAACTATGTGAAAAACACTATAAGTACAGTATTTAAAACCTCTCAAATGGTAGACACACTTTCCTAAACTATTATTACTGAGTATTTTCCAGTAGAACAACTCAATAATATACACTACTTCAACAGCTTTTTACACTACTATTAGTCCGACGAGACAGTCAAGGAACGCTTATTTTATTTCAGACTAGCGACTCACCCTCGCTTCGCTCATGCGTGGAATAGATATAAATTGTTTTCCCGTAGAAACGAGATAATCTCCCATGGTAAAAAGTAGCCTATTTCACTCTCCAGCCCTCTTAGAGGAAGAGCCCGTGAACGCCAGACCTTCGTCATTTTATAAAGGCTGAAAGTTTGTCAGTGCATGCTCCCAACACAGATAAGAACGATGGACCATTATGAAGTTCAGGCTATGGTTTATTAACAGAGTTATGGAGGTTTTAAGTTTAAGGGACGAACGAGGAAATCAAAATTCGCTGTTTCTACTTTTGGAAGTCGTTTAATAAAGTTCTTGGTAATATTGAATTTTACAAATCCATGAGAGTGAAAGTAAAAGAATTATAAAAAATATTAAAGGATCAAAACGGTTAAATGCCAGACGACGTCTTCAGATTTACGCACACACGCGACAGAGCGCTACTGCGCGTGTGTGTGTTCGCGTTAAATGCCTAATTTCGCTCGTTTTGATTTCGTATACGGCCTCTTAAGTAGGGACGAACCCCAGCGGAGCGAAGGTAAGTCGCTAGTTTGATACCTATATAAGTAATGAATATACGCCATGAACGTATAAATGTAATAAAATATGACCTGCTTACACCTGGCTGCGAAGAGGTTGCGGCCAAGTGCGCAACGGCATCTATCAATTTTCAAGATATTTATGTATACTTCTGTGAAGTATAATTCATTTTAATAACAAGTGCATCGATTTTGTTCCATAAAGTCAATTATTATTTATTTAATTAAACATACTAGCGGGCACTTTTTAATAGGCACCCCGGTCAAAACATATTGTCCCTTTTATTATCAACCGACTTCAAAAAGGAGGAGGTTCTCAATTCGACTGTATGTTTGTTTTTTTTTTTTTTTTTTTTTTTTTATGTTTGTTACCTCAGAACTCCGTCATTTATTAACCGATTTGGACAATTTTTGTTTTGTTTGAAAGGGTATACTTCCAGATTGGTCCCATTTAAATTTCAAAAAAAAATACCACCCCTAAGGGTGGAAAAACAAGTAATGATGAATTTAACCTACTTCTAATTGTCATATTGACTTGAAACTTTGCAAGTATTTCTAATTCCGTTGATAGTATAGTGGTTCGGTGTTGTTGACCTGATCTGATGGCAAGGCCAAAAGGTGGATAGGTGGAACTCCTCAACGGCTAATAGTAGACACTTTGAGTTTGGGCTTATTTTGTTTGATTTGACAAGCCTAACACGTTAGAATCCTTACTTTGCTACCACTGTCTACACTAAAAAGGGAAAAATAAAAACTTTTTAACAAAAAAATAAAAACCGACTTCAAACAAAAGCACTAAAAAGTAAAAAATAACTGATTGGTAGTTTTCATTTACTATACATACCTAATCAAATATTTTCGAAATCGGTGCCAGCCCATACAAAGCAATGCACACCGACTTCGAAAATATTTGATTAGGTATGTATAGTAAATGAAAACTACCAATCAGTTATTTTTTACTTTTTAGTGCTTTTGTTTGAAGTCGGTTTTTATTTTTTTGTTAAAAAGTTTTTATTGTCTATAAAAAAATTGATTTTGATTAAATACGCTATGAACGTAGCAATCTTGCAGCGGGATCTTAGTCCATCAGTTACATACTGATCTTAATATTTTTAATTGTATGTGATGTAGTTTTTTTTACATCATTAGAAAGTAGAGATTTATTTTAAGAAACAAAAAGCCCACCGACTTTTTTAAAAAAGCAGATATTTTGATGCGAGAATTTTCGATTGAAAATTATGGTGTTTTATTTTATATTAAGCCAAAATCAGGTGAAAAAATAAACATTTTAAATCAAAAAAATTACTGTACATTTGGGACATAAAAAGGTAAGTTTTCACCGAATTTTGTGAATGTTTTTTTTTGTACAAGATAAAAATAAAAAACCAAAAACTTGAATTTTTCACATAAATTTTGAGGTTATGTGAAAAAAGTGTAAATACATCGTTGTAGATCTTTTTATTACCTACAACATTGCCATTTAACTTTTTTCCATAGGACTTTTAGTTTTGCCGGAAATCGAGATAAACAGTTTTTTACCCTTAAAAACTCACCCCTCCAACTTACCGACCTCAGATCGCCCGTTATTATTTTTCCTTACATTTTTGTTATATTCTCTTCCTTTTCCAATGGGTTTCATTCTACTATAATTTTTTTTGGTTTCAAATTGGGGGTGCAAAATAAACAGTCCGCCATATTAAATTTTAAAGCCCTTGCATTTGATACCTATATCATATGGGTGGGTCACTATGAAAATATTAAATCGCCATTTTATAACGTCCATCCGTCGTATTGGATTAAGCATGGTGGCATTTTGGAAATCGTGCAGTCACGAGAGTCAAACGTGTGTTCCAAATTTCAGCTCAATCGCACAATTGGAAGTGGGTCAAATTTAACTTGTAAGATTTGATTACAGTCAGACAATGAGACAGGTGAAACTAAATAAAAGCTTGTAATATTTTTTTACATTTATCGATATAGAACACGTGTTGTGTATATAAAAATAAAATAAAAAAATAAAAAAACTTTACATTGTTGCCAATAACGACTAACTTCACACTGTAGTCAATAATCACTAACTTCATACTGTAGTCCAAATCTGTCGCATCGCATAGCAAAAGAAGTATAATTTCAATAATGCTATATATAAAATACTGTTGAGTTGATTTGGCTAAAACTTTGGTTAATTATATTATATGTAGTTTGTAAAACGATGATGATTGAAAGTTTATATGGACACAACAAACTCAAAAAATGATAATTTCAGAAAAGACGCTGCCAATGTAAAAATTTCTGCTCCGACGAAGTTTTAGTTTTTTTTTTGGAATTTTACCTTTATTTGTGCCATGAGACCTTGCTTTTTGCCCAATTTCGTGATTCTAGGTCAATGGGAACTACCATATAGTTCTAAGATTTACTGACAGGGAGTGCTCCCCGCACGGTACAGTAGACAGGTCCTCTCCTTTACGTTTCATTTGAAAGGTTCAAATAAAAGAAATATACATATATATTATCAAATTTATTATTACATTTGAAATCAAGCATTTAAGATTTTTAAGTAAAAAGGTAAACAAACAATTTTACAATATTTAATAATAATATTCTTACATGATTAGATTTTTTTATCTGTAATTATATTATGTTGTTGTTACACTCATATTTATAAAATTGTTTTTTACAAAGTTTTGGCGCATGCTTTGTGCACGGAATTTGCATTGAACGATTGATATTACAAAAAGACTTCCTTAAATTAAATGGCGATCATAACACTGGTATTGAAAAAGGCACAACTCATCCTTATTTAGGTTTTAACCGTTCTTAGGAAAATATCTCTAAAACTATAAAGATCTACGACTGCGTAAATGCTTACTTTTAACTTGATTTATATTTTGTGCACAATAAATGACATCGCGCGATGTTATCCACATTGTAACAGCGCGTCCGAAATTTGGTATCATTATGGTCGTTATTGCCGAATCAAAGCATTCTCACTGCCGACCCAGTACGAAGCCGGCGTATTTGCAATGTTTTGGTCAATATAATCAAAATATAAACATTCTATACATATCTGCTTAATATTCGGATACATAATAACATTTAAAAATAAAATAAAAAATAAAATTTAAAGTCAATTCATTGAAAAGAAGTACAAAAATAAATTATTTTGGGAATGTTAAACAAAGCAACACGATATTACATACGTCATACATACTTGTGAAATAACTCTATTTTATATAATACTTATTATGCCCGCGGCCTTGTACGGCCTCCCGCGGCCTCGCGCTCCCTCACGCAACGTCACGCGACCTCACTTGTATAACACCTGTTTTCTTAATTAACTAATACGTTTAGACATATTCTTGTATTTTTGTGGAATATCTGTAACACTTTAGTTCAGAAATAAAATTGTAATTTTACCGTTTAAGTTCAGTAACCTTAGAATTGTTCAGACCAACTTTTAAGTATTTGATAATCATAGCAAATTATTCTCCATACCATATCGATTTTCCCACTGCCGATATCGATTGTACAGTGTACAATGTAATTGCTTCAATAACCATTCGAAGTAGTTTAGTTGCCATTTATTTATTCGCAATCTTTCAACCGTTTAACAAAATAAATATTAATACGTCACCATATAACCTCCTTTTTTTTAGAAATCGGCTAAAAATTAATTTAAGACATTAAGTGTACAAATAACATTCCAATCGGACAATTACAATAGACGGCGTGTACAAATAGCGTCGAACTTACTAGCGGACGGAGCGGTGTCGAGCGGAGACGGGAGTTGCGGATCCGTGTAAACAATTCTAACGTAAACCGTCCTATTTAGAAAAAAAACTAATCACTTAAATAAATTCTATACATAAAAATAAAATTTAACAAAAATATTATCTTGTAATCGAGCTAGAATCCGCTTACGCTTCGGGGTTCTTGCGCATGAGCTCCATGTCGGCGTCCACCATCTCCTTGACGAGCTGGTCGAAGGACACGCGCGGCGCCCAGCCCAGCTGCCGGCGCGCCTTGCGCGCGTCGCCCAGCAGCAGCGGCACGTCGGTGGGGCGGTGGTGGCGCGCGTGCACGCGCACCAGCAGGCGGCCCGAGCGCGCGCAGTGGCCCGCCTCGTCGGCGCCGGCGCCGCGCCACTCCACGCGCCGCCCCACGTGCAGGAACGCGCGCTCCACGAACTCGCGCACGCTGTGCGTCTCGCCCGTCGCCACCACGAAGTCCTCCGGCTTCTCCTGCTGCAGCATCAACCACATCGCCTAACGGGTTGAACGGATCTTTCGTTTAAAAATGAACATGGGCCTTTTAATTTTTTTTAAGGGAAAACTTCTATAGGCAGGTTTGGATGGGCAGTTAATTCATGTAAGTCGTCATCGACACGGTCACGTGACGTGTTAACGCTAACACTAAGAGTTCCGATAAATGTCAGAACCAGATAAATGTAAACAGTTTTAACACCTCCAGGTAAATTTTTAAGAAATTAATTAAAATTCTAAGTAATCTATTGATAACTGATGCTAACTGACACGCCGACATATCCGCGGTCGTGGAGGGATTAATTTACAAATTTTAATTTAAGATTAACAATTAATTTGAATATCCAAAAAAAACAACGCAACAAAAATAACAACAACTTTTGACGCGTTATGAAAAATGAATGATGAGAGAAATTTTTAAGCTATTTCATAGCTTCTATCGCGGGCCTTAAGCGTGGGGACCGAATCCAGAAATTCCGTAACGAAAAAACCTAACACTCCCCACTCAGATTTGACATCTGACGTTTCTGACGATCTGACATTTGACATCTGTTTCGGTAAGAAGTAACACATTTGCTTGCCTCGTAACTGAATCTTGTAAATCGTATTTGTGACTATTTAGACTTTGGCAGTTGAAAGTAATTATTGAAATGCCATTTCTATTACTAATGAAATCTAATACACTTTGAGCTATCGTCTGAACACTATTTAGAGACAGTCTTTTGAATTCTTGCAACAAAGATGCAGTCGATGCAGCTTGCTTTCGAAAATATTGAATTTGAAAATGAATAATGATCCACAAGAATCCACAACAAAAAATGGAACCATCATTGACGCGGTATTTTCCAGATATTTAGAAGATATCAAGTCTCAAACTTATGTTTCTTATTTCAGTTACCATAAACCTATAGTTTCAATGATAAATATTCCTGAAGAACCGACATGTATTGAAAGATAATAAAAATATTATGAACAATATTAACATCTCATTTATTTGATAAAAGAAAAAAAAATGTTTTTTTATCGGTCACCAAGCTCAAAGTGTAACTTGAATTAATATCAAAGAAAAAAAATCAAAGGAAAAAAAATACTGCATTAATAAAATAAATAAATAATTATAATTGCATAAGTTGATAAAAAATGCTATGCAATAGCTTTACCGCGGCAGTCTCCGAGTGCCACACGTCTTTTTTTACGATGCGACAGATTTAGACCACAATATAAAGTTAGCCGTTAAATCACCCCTAAGTATAGTACGACGTCTATAATCAAGATATGTATTCCTGTATTTTTATAAGCACTTGATGACCGAAACACAATAAACAAAGTGACATCATTGTAAATCTAATAGAGTAGGTAGACTCCCAAAGATGGCGGACTGTTTTTATGCACACCCATAATATGGATATCATATGAATGGGTTCGATGAGCGAAACACAATAAGCAAAATGATGATGAAATTCAGATGAAACATAATGATGAAAGTCTAACCAACATGATGACCGCTTACGATTATAATCGAAAAGAATCCATTTTTTATTGCAAGTGACAATGCGGTTCAAAATCCCTTCGTTTCTGTGTCTGTTTAACAACGCAAGGCATACCTTAATGCGTTCGTCGCGCTCACGATCGTTCAGTTCGTGCGGCACCCACTTTTCAAGTTTTTTTAAATCGCCAGTTTGACGCAAAAGGATCAATATTGTTTTGATGCTAACGTTGGAAGCTGCTGCTAACTCAGCCGTAGATTGAGTACCTATCGTCAGCTTCCACTATCGCCTTTAATTCGTGGTTGTTACTACACTGCTACACTGTGTTGCGTTGTGTCGCTACACTACTGTGCTCTTTATAAATAATACATGTATAATATACAATAATATATGTATGTTCTCCTTCTTTCTATTCCGTCTTATTGACTTTATTGTGGGCTGTTTTTCTTAGATGTGTATAGTGAATAAACTACATGAATATTACTGTGACTATGCTAAACGTTATTTTTGTATTTACAACTATCATTCACGCAGTCCGCCGTCCGCGCAGTCTATAATAATTATCACGTCAAACACCCAATGTTTAATTTGTAATCCTAAATCATCCTAGAGATTGTGACAAAGTTGTTGCAGTCGTTAATTTAGTAGTTAAATTAGAAAAATAAGTTTATTTTTCTAATTTTCAAATTAACTCAGATTATTATTAAGCTGCATTTAATTTAAACATTTACTAATATTTAAAACAAGTAAATAAATATATTTGAATGAGCTATGGATCGAGTATGACTGTGAGAAGTGTATTTACCAATAACAACATATAGATGGTGTGTGTGTGTGTACCTCGACGTAGTCCTTGGCGTGTCCCCAGTCGCGCTTGCTGTCGAGGTTGCCGAGCTCGAGGTGCGACAGCAGGCCCAGCTGTATCTTGGCGACGCCGCGCGTGATCTTGCGCGTCACGAAGTTCTCGCCGCGGCGAGGGCTCTCGTGGTTGAAGAGCAGCCCGTTGCACGCGAACATGCCGTAAGCCTCCCTGTAGTTCACCACTATCCAGTACCCGTACAGCTTCGCACACGCTGCAACCGACACGCATTGTGGATGTTACTATTATACTAATCTATACATATAATAAAATTGTAACTAAGCCGAATCTGTACATTAAATATTTTTTGGAAAATCTTATTGAAATAAACATTATTATCGATACAGAGGCCGAATCTATAGTTTTCAGAATTTTTGTCTGTCTGTATTTCTGTCTGTCTGTTACCTGAAATTTGGTATGGTGATAGCTGGTTATCCGGGTCAACATATAGGATACTTTTTACCGCAGGAAAATGTCTCATTTCTGAGAAAAAATACAAAAACTACAATGTAAGAGTACCTATACTAATATGTAAAACCTAATAATTTGGTTTTTAGTCATCTGAACGCGGGCGGAGCCGCGAGGAATGCTATTTGATGAATATCGCTTTAAAAAAACTAGAGAAAATCTGCTTATTAGCTATTATAAATTCGTTTACTGATTGTGACAGACAACACACAGTTAAACCACTACGTCTAGTAGTGTGTGATTTTTATAACGAAATAGAGCAAAGCCATAACATTTTATAGTCATTTAACGCCGCTAATTAAATGGGGAATGAAAGTGTAGTAAAAATTTAGATAAAATTTCATCATTGAACTCAATGCGTGTAATTTATAAATTAGTAACTAAAATGCATGGTAATGATAGATGGTAGAATTAATCTTGGTATTAGGTATAAGTCACAGTGTATTTTATCACGTATAATGGAGACTGGAAGATAAACGCACGCAACAATACGGCACAGCGACATGTAAGAGAACAATACAAACATTACGAACGTGGTTGGGAAAACAACAAATACGTTGAAATGTCTGAATCAATACAAATTAACACAACAGAGGTTGTTATGCTTCAAACATTCAACCAAGACTAAGCGTGACAAAAGTGTAATTATCTATACTATATAATATTATAAATATATTAATATTATAAAGAGGCAGTTTGTCTGTTTGTTTGAACGCTATGATCTCAGGAACTACTAATCCGATTTCAAACATTATTTTTGCATTAGATAGCCCGTTTATTGAGAAAGGCTATATCATGCTATGCTACTACCCAAGGGAACGGAGCAGTAATAATATATAATATGTATAGTCAACCTTTAAAATCACGCCGAAATATACGGGTATCAGGTCAGAAAAGTGGACCGTAACGAAACAGGTTGCGTTAGGTTGCCATGGTAACCGTTGTTATTCCCTGAAAAATGATATATACGATATTCTTTCGTTGCTATCTTCAAAGGTTACTATTTTTCTAAATTTTTGTCCACTATTAATCTAAAGAACTTTTATATACATACATACATACATATATATATATATATATATATATATATATATATATATATATATATATATATATATATATATATATATATATATATATATAGTATCGGTATAGTATTAAAACAATTAGAACGAAGTCAATTTTGTTTTCATTCCAATCTTTAACACTAAAAACGACTCGCTGAAATAGACGTTTTAAATTAAAACAACGGCGGTGTGCCCCGACACAGCCCTGCCTAATTATTTTTTCATTAAATACGGTTGAATTTTAAAGGAATTTTGTTTACTTAAAGATTAAGCGGTAAATAGGCGAAGCTTAGTAACAATAAAACTCACCGTACGGCGACCTGGGATAGAAAGGCGTCTTCTCATTCTGCGGCACCTCCTGCACGTTGCCGAACAGCTCGGAGGTGGATGCTTGATAGACGCGCGTGTCGCGCTCCAGCCCGGCGGCGCGAACCGCCTCCAGCAGGCGCAGCGTGCCCAGCGCGTCCACCTGCGCCGTGTACTCACTCAGCTCGAACGACACCTTCACGTGGGACTGGGCGGCTAAATTGTAAATTTCTTTTGGTCTAACCTGGAATTCCCAAGGAAATAGACAATTATTGATAATGTCCACGGGTTTGCATGTTTAAATATCGGTGGGATATATCTATAGCATGAACGAGTTAGCCACTGACCCGACATATAAGCGGACGCACCTTTACCGGTCTTGTCAGTAACCAGGAAATTTTAGCCTTGGTCGTTTCTTTTTGCGTCAGTCTCAAGCACTTACTTGTCAACAAAACACCTCCCAAAAATGACTAAATGTCCTGTTAAATGGTGTAAAATTATAGCGGAGGAAGCAGCACTATTTATTTTCACTTGTAAGGACAACAGTTTTATCACATTTATTGTTATTTATCACAAAATTCAATCAAATATATAATGAAATGCCGTATTATCCAACTATGTTAAATATAGTCGATATTTCTGTGTATTGTTGACATCCAACAACCATCATAAAATGGCTGGATTGTACCATTCAGAACGAATGTCAAAACTGTCGAGTGAGTCCATTTGAAAAGTCAAAAAATATATCGATGTTAGACGAAATGACTGAACGAATAATGTTATTTGCACAGTACAATAACATAAAATACTTTTATCACAGTATCCAACAATCTGATGACAATAAATTTATAACAATATTTTTTATAATCAAATAAAAATATTATAAATGCAAAAATTATAATTAGTATGTGTACTTAATTTTTTATTTTATTTTATACCACATTTATATACTTTGAAATATTATTCCACTGTAATAATAATAAAGATCATTAATTTATTTTAACACATAAATTACACAAAATTTTAGATTTCCTAGTGACCCTTTTGTTTTTTCGTTAGCTTAGTTTGATTTCCTAGTGAGTAGAGAAAGTGGGAAGAAGCAGTTCGTAGAGATGATACCTGGATTCCAACGAAACACAGTGCAATATGCAGTGTACATTTCGAAACTGTATGTTTTAATAACAATGCAAAGAAACAGAAAAAGCTCGAAAAAGATGCTGTTCCAACATTGTTTTTACCGATATAAAAAGGGCTGATGATAAAACCTATTTACATAATTTACACTTAACAAAAAAATATTTCGGGTCCAGTGGCTAATTCGTTCATGATCTATAGGTACACATACTTGATAAAATCTAAAGACGTCCATGTAAAGTAAACCAGAAAAGATATAAAGCCTAATAAGAGTAAATGTTTATTAATTACTTTCATTAATAATTAATAATTATCATCGAGTATTACCTAGACTCTAGTCTCTAGGCTCCTAGAGGATAGAAATGGCAGAATTAGGATAGTTGCATTGACCTATTTTGTATAAAAGACTTTACAAAGTTTTAAAGTGTTTACAGACATTTAAAATCAACTGCTGCTGCAGTTTGCGCTCATTAATTCATTTTATTTCTCAAGATACAAATTAAAATTTTATAACAATCTCCGTAATGTTAGAGTCATCATAGTCTTTTGATCAACTTCAAGATTTAACAAAGAAGAAATATTATATTTATTATCACAAATGAATTGTAGATTTGACCGTAAAATATAAATATAATAAAGTATTAAGAAAATATATTAAAGTTTTAAGAAAATTTTAAAGCTCAATCATAAAAAGCATATTGTCGCGTAAGGGAGTGTGTAACGTCATTACATCAAAATAATAATTAAAAAGACACATCTTGAACTTGCTTTATGCTTCCTAAGACAGTTGTCAAAACATTAAGAGAGGCGTAGAAATTACTTGAATTTAGAAAATAGCAGTAAATTATAAATTGAAGTGTGTAAGGGTGAAAGAGGAACAAAACATTCGAAATGACTAGAAAGGTTTTGAATTTTCGACTACTAGAGTGTTCTTTGTTTATGCATATAAAAAAGCCGGCAGTGTGTCGACAGATAAGTTGAATTTGGAAGTGAAGAAGTACACAAAGGTGAAAAGTAAAGAAAAATTAAGTGAAGCTATAGTGGAAGTGTTCTAGTGGTGAAAATTAGTGTCCAGTGACTGATTTTAACCAGAACTGCTTATATACTGCGCGTGTTAGTGAATCTACAAAACGTCCCGTTTCTGTGTAAACCTCGTATCTACAAAATCTTAATTTTCAGTAAATCGATAAAAACGTTTAGAGTTACTTAATTTTCATAAAAAGTTATAACTAATTTAAAATTTATACTCTTTATTTATCACCTTAAAATAATTAAACATCATTTTTGCTCTCTGCATCGATACCTTGTTGTTATTATCAATTTAACGTAGATACGAGTTTTTTCATCAAATACCCTGGTAACATTTTTGTAGATACGAGGTTTTGAAATTTTTTTTTTTTTTTCTATAAGATCATTGGCGAAAAATTTTGTTATGCAAGGTTTTCACATTCAATTCATTATTATTTTATATTTATTAATTAAAACAAATTCATTTGATTTTGATTTAATGTGTTATATAAATCATATGATTACTATTTATAATATGATTTAATTATTTTTTTCAAATATGTTTACAATTTATTGAATAATGTACAAATTAACAGCAGGATAATCTGAAAAATAAGTAATAAGAAATAACTTGAACAATAACTAGAACTAAGAAGTAAGGATCAATTTTACAATTTTTTAAACATATTCTTCTACAGTAGATTCAACTTTTAATTGATCATAGAAATTACGATAATCTTGGGATAGCAATCTTTTCAAACTTTGCAAATCTTTGAATTTTCTTGATGTAATAGAAATCGGTTTTTTATATAACGGAGTGATAATATTTTTTCGATTTACATTTATTCTAGTTTTTTTTGAGGTGATAAGGTCCAATCGTTTTGGTAATCGAGTTTATAATACAGCTCAGTTGAATCGTATTTAAGACATTTTAAATCAGTAACTTGTGGATCTCCTGTTTTTGAACCGGATCTTATCAATTTGTAAAAATTTATTTTAGAAAAATCCTTAAAAAATGTGTGATCAACATAAATAACTTTATATGGCTCTAGATTCATTCTAGCTTCTTTGATGATGCGAACAAAATCTGCTGGCACGTAGAGTTCCTTGTTTTTCTTTCAATAGATGAATGAACAGAGTCGCACTCCATTTGTGTATGACCAACAGTTAAATATTTCTGATAAATAGTTGTCTCAAATTTTACCAAATTTTAATAATTTTATATGTATTCATATGAATAAAAAATAAATGTCAATCAACAAAATGCAGTCAACTTAAGTGTGAACATGTTTACAAACATTCAGTAATAAGACAATAACGCCATCTTAACGTTTTCAGCGATACTTACGGTAGATACGAGGTTTTTGAATTCGAACATGTAGATACGAGAAAAATCAAAAGCCTCTAAAAAAAATTCTATCAACATTATGAACATTGCATGTTTTGTTTTATGTTACAAGAGTGCTAAGAAGTGATTTTCGCTAAAAATCTCAATTTCGAAAAAAATGGAGTTACGAGGTTTACACAGAAAGGGGACGAAAAGTCACTCTTGTTAATCAGGAGTAATGAAACATCGATAGTGTAGTGTAGTGAAATATTAATGTTTTATAATCTCCATAATATGATAATAATCAAAACCGCTCTAAATATTATCAGCCAAACAAATTTATACTCTTAGCACTTATATGTTTCCCAAAAATACACGATAACTTTGTGTAATCTATCAATTATTAGGTAATAGTAGGTAGATTTTTATCATTGTTTGTATCACATAGAATTATTTAAAAATGTTATTTTATCTGCGTTATGCTAGCCCCGATGTCAGAGCGCAGGACGCCGCCGCCTCGATATCGCTAATTGCAAAGTAACATACAAAGAATGCGTCACTGACATAAACTCGTAGGTACTAGTGTCATATTAGGTACTATTAACAAATTACACCTAAATGATTAGATTACTAACAATCTCACGTGCCCGACGCCCGTCCCCCGGCAAAAGTTACATATTGCAAGACACTAAAAATCCCACATCAAGAGCTGACAATGCCTCGATGTGCCGGCATGGAAAGATTATATTTATATTAAAATATTATTCTCCGATTCAATAAATATCTCTTTGTAAATATCACGCGGACCACGCGGATAGTACGCAGCCAGGTTGATAGACTAATAAGTAGTTTTGATTAAGTATATACGAAAATATACGTCCGAACATTGCGCAGTAGGTAAACTTATACATATATTACTCCAGGTCATTGTCTATCTGTATCCTAAAATTCATGCAAATCCGTTGAACCATTTCAGCGTGACAAGGAAACCAACAGTAAGACGTAGGTTCAAATAACTCAAATAAGGTCTTAGGATAATATTCATGTTTACATATAACTCCATCGACATCACACACATACATGTATAACGAAATTTTGTCATGTCCGCATTAATCCTAAAATAAATTAAAGGCAGTGGTAGTCCAGTGGTAACGCGGTCGCTTGGGTCGTGAGACCCGGGATTTGAACTCACTTCACTCGGTTCCAAAAGACATGTAAAGTCCGTCATCCCGCACTTGGCCAGGGTGGTGGATTCCTCTCGTACTGAAAGGAGGTCCGTGCCCAAAAGTGGGACGTTAAAAAGGGCTGAATACAAAGTAATTTAATAAAAGACTTAATGAAATAACCTGCTAGCCTGTGGCGGCCCGTTAATGAAATAAAAACTTAAAAAAAAACCGACTGCCAGGCACCAAAATGTAAAAAATAACTAAACGGAGGTTTTCATTTAGAATAGATACCTAATCAGATATTTTCGAAGTCGGTACCAGCCTACAATATTTTAAGATATGAATATCTAATAGGTAAATATGTATTTTATGTATCGAAATATATTAGATTTGCTTTGCATCGGCTGGCATATGAAATATATATGCCAGCATAGCCATGCATATATATTGACATAATATTTTTTATTTCGAGCCGACGCTGGAATTAAAGTATTACAACATCCACCATTTCGTACTTTCACGAATTAATTTCATGGTGTATATATACTATATTATAGCTGTATGTAACTTAGCAACAAATATGATAAAACTGTATTACGTACACGAACCTGAACCGTTACGCTTAATTTGCATCGCCATATCTAATTATATTCTTTAGTAATATTATACAAAGCATAACATAATGTGGTCTGCAGAAATGTTCAGGTAAATCGAATCATGATGTTGAAATTGAGGATAGTCCATATTATTGAATTTCGTCCACCGCAAGGCGCAAGTATAAGTTTTGTGAGCCAATGTCGTTACTCACCCATTAATTGTCTTCCAACTAGATCGGATTAAATGAATTTCTTATTAAGAACACAACGCTAACATAATTTCACTGAGAGATTAGTAACATCGTCGTAAATGTATTATGACTGTTATCTTGCGACTTTGAAAATCAAGACACTCGGTAGCGTGTCCAACCAAGATTTTTACTTTTTTTTTGTATGTATTCTAGGTTTTTTTTAAAGAAAATTGTACCTTTGGCCAAAAACTCAGGTACTATTATATAATTGCTTGCTCTAACTGATTGATTCCTCAACATAGAGCCTAAACCATAGAAGTTAAAAACTTGAAATTTTGGCAGTTAATGCATTTTATGATGTAAACATCCACTAAGGAAGGATTTTAAGAAATTCCACATCTAAAGGGGTAAAATAAGTGATGAACGGTTGTATGGAAATTAGTTTTTGCGTGAAAGAGTAACAAACATCCATACATGCCCACATCGATACATTCAGACATCCAGACATCCTACATACTTACAAACTTTTCATTTATAATATTAGTAGGATATTATACATCAATTTGTGATGTAAGCTTTGCTTCATTTTGTATCGGCTGACCGACTTCAAAAATATCTGTTTATGTACCTATATATATGATATGTTTTGGTACCTATAGTAAATGAAAACTCCCTTTCAGCAATTTTTAATTTTTAGTGTTTTGATAACATAAATGTACACATAATATTACAAATTCGATACATAAGATAACATATACTTTCAATGGAAATTAAAACTTAGCAAATTCTGTACTCCGTACCGTAGCCATGTGTAGAAAGTTTAACAAAATAAGAATGGCACTTTAAAGTAACTTAAAAATGGAGGGAAAGGAGGGAGACTGTAAATTTCTGGTGTACATAACATTGGATTTTAAAAATAAGGTTGATGTTAGCCTGTTCATATGTTAGTTTAAAGTCCATATTAGCCGAGTTACATGATTCTTAAATCATAAACATTGTATGCGAGTTATATTATTGTATTGTCTTCTTCTAACTTTGAAAAGATGATTTGGCAAATATCCAAAAAATAAAGGTAGTGGAGCACTTTAAACTAAAATTAATTTACAGAATATATGTAAAATATCTTTTTAGATACTGGATATATATGTATATGAGGTATATTATGTAAATATGGGCCTGTATCTGAATTAAAATAAATAAATAAAAATAAGTTAACTAATTACTAGATGACAATTTATGACAAAGTTTTTAGACAGATTCTATCATAGATAGGTACTAAATAAATTAATTGACTTAGTTTTACATTTTAAATCTGGGAAAAAATCAGAAAAGATTGTTTTATTTAAAATGTCAAATATTCACATAAATCTAAGAAAGTATTATTGGTTTTACATTATATCTCACAACTTTCTGTGTTAGAAGAACTGCATTGTGAGACTTGCATTTTTTTACATGTTATGTTTTTGATGGGTAGTTCCATTACAATTCAAAAGTAAACATTATTTCTTGAAATTATCTATCTCTTCCTTAGAAATATGTCAAAAACGTTACTTTAATTATTAATACAGTGCCAATAATATTATATTTAAAATTATATTAGCAATACCTTAGTAATAATATTTATGAGGCATGTAGTATCAGTCAAGTCTCCATAGTGTAAATGCATTTGTCCTCCGGTGTGACATGCTGGCTGCTCATATAAATGCTGGATTCTACCTGATAATAACACAAACATAATAAGATATAAAGAGAGTCACAGTAAAATAAATATTTTAACTTATTTCTAAGTTTTTTTTTGAAAATGAGGATATTTTACATCTTCTAATGTAGCTATCGAGCAACAAATTAATTATTTTATTACTTAGAAATACAAATTAGGTAATGTATGTAAATGGTATATTACTTTTAATATTATTGAGATAGTGGTACATACTTTCTTAATTTTTAAATAAATAATTTCTATAAATCCTAGTATTTACCTGTATTAAAAGAAGAAGATCGGCGGAGAATGCCATGTACTTCATAGCCTTTTTCGATTAAGAACTCCGCAAGATAAGAGCCATCCTAAAAGAGTATTATATATTTTAGTCATCCGTTAGAAAAAAATAGCCTGTTATTGTTTTCTTTTCAAAACTGCATTATTTTTTATTTCAATAAATGTGCGTGATATTACATACCTGACCAGTAATACCAGTAATTAATGCCACCTTTTTGTTTTCATTCGAAATAGAGCCCTCACCAGACATTTTATAAGTATGTTTATTTTAATATGTACTAGAGTAATTTTAAACACGTCCACACTTCGCAAACCGGCAACGTATGATATCGTAATTCGTAATTCTTATCAGAAACACTTTGCGACACAGTCTGCTATCATTGCAATTTTAATTGTTAATTACACTTTGATTGTTTTCATTTTTATTTTATATTAAACTACATACACGCTGTAATATGTACATATAATTGGTTACAAGATTAAAGTATTTGGTAAATGGTAATAAACAATGTAATTATTTAATATCTACTAAATGTCAAACTCAAAATTGCAGCCGACAAAACACACGACAGAAGTCAGCTGTCAGTATCACACATGACACAGAGTAGGTACGTAGACGGAGAAAACCCGTCTACGGTATCTAGTTTATACAGTATTTATTCACCTCTATGGTACACTATCATTGTTAGTTGTTACCATAGATGACAAATAGAAGTTGTTACCTTTAGAGTATATATATATATATGCTATAGAGCCTCTATTTAACTGCCTCAGTGGTGTAGTGGCTAGCATGTACGGCTGCACACCCGGAGGTCCTGGGTTCGAGTCCCGGGTCGGGCCAAGTTCAGTTATTGAATCTGTCTGTATAGTAAGCCTTAGTAACAGCCCGGAGTTGGGAAGTTGGCGGTGTTTCACCCCGTGCCTCGGAGAGCACGTAAAGCCGTCGATCCTGCGCCTTAACTCTCACCGGTCGTGTGAGTGGTCGTTCCACCGGAGTATGAGTGTGATAGGAATAGAGAGTGCACTTGCGTCTACACGTACACTTGAGCACTATAATATCTCCTGCGCAGTTAGCTAATCTCAATGACATTGGCCGCCGTAGCCGGAATCGGCTAGGAAAACATCATCATCATGCTATAGAACGCGCGGATCGCTCATTGTCTATTATTTTCAAGTAGTAATAATTCAGTACACTTCACTCCACTTAAAACTTCTTACTTCACATCCTTAGAGTATACATAAGCCATAGAGCGCGCGCTAGCAAGTATGAACTGTAAGCACGGGTATGAACAGTCTCGAAATGTCAAGGGCGACGCTAGTCACGAAAAGTCAATCGCGCTGATTATTTCTCTCGTCGGTATTTATTTGAATTTATCTAATCATGGTGAAATGTGCAGTTCCAAGCTGTAAAAATCATTCACGAAAGCAAACTAAAACGAACAAAGATATTTCTTTTCATCGGTAAATAATATTTTAATCTGGAGACGCTGATTTTACCAAAATTACACAGGCGTGAGCGGGTGTTGCGGGAGGTGCGCGGGCGGGTCAACACAACATGTGCTTCCGCGCCCCCCGCTTCTTAGTTTCCCTCATTAAGAGCTAGTGTTGTGCCACGTTGTACTACTCGAATATTTTGTATAACCATAGTATTATAAATTAAGATTCTTTGTATTTGTCAATAATAAAACCTTTAAATTTTGTGGCATGGCAACAAAGTACCTTACAATATTACTTAATTTTAATTTTAAACATTTTTACAATTTTAATAAGATTTTATAATTGCATGGAATATTATTTATTTCATTTTAGCTGTTCAATTTTAACAATTTTTTAGACAATTTTATTAATTAGTCAGTCACCTTGCATCAATGTGAAAAGTTAAAGAGAATAATATATAATTTTAATTTAGTTAACTATTATTTAAAAAAATCAAAATATTAAGCAACAATATTGCTACATAGATTTACGAATGAAAGATATTTAGATAATAAAGTCTATATGTGCGTGAATAAATGGTTCTGTTAAATTGTTTATGTTAATATACTTATTTTTTAGTTAAATTCTAAAAGTTTTACTACGCGCATCACTATTTAACCGCTTCATTTACAAGTATGTATCAATAGGTGTGTATAGAACATCTACTTAGTACTTACATTTCGCTTATTGGACAATAAGCGATACGCGCGCTCTATTGCATATGTATACTCTAAGTTCACATAACATCTACTTGCTACGCTAGCGCTATATCGTCGGTGAGTTTCTGAATATTACAATTTGCTGCTCATCACTGAACACTTTTTCAACTTTTTTCACATATGTGTTGGTTCTCCTTAGTCCATAAATATAAAGGTACGATACATATATTATACGTACTTTATAATGTCACTTATCAATTGTCATTTGTCATGTGACATGTGTCATTGCTGATTGCATTCATATTTCATAGCTCTTTACTATTATCTACTTGCTGTAAACTATAAAGGTTATTTAATATAATATTTGAATAGTTTCTCATTTATCACTATAGCATATATTTTGCTTTGAAAGTTAACAGTGTTAAGAATAATAAGTACTTAATTCAAGAATCAGTAACAGATATGAGATGGTATGCATGGTTCAATTTGAGTAGTTGTTTGTTTACTGCGCAACAACGCGTCAAATTAACTAAATAAAGTATTAATAGGAAATAAATATTTGTCAATATGCCAGATATTAAAATAACTCCTTTAGGCGCGGGCCAGGATGTCGGCCGAAGTTGCATTTTGTTATCAATGGGTGGGAAAAATATAATGTTGGATTGTGGAATGCACATGGGTTACAATGACGAGAGGCGATTTCCTGATTTTTCTTACATAGTTCCTGAAGGTCCTATAACAAGCCAGATTGATTGTGTTATCATTTCTCACTTTCATCTAGATCATTGTGGCGCATTGCCGTATATGTCGGAAATGGTTGGTTATACAGGTCCAATTTATATGACCCATCCCACGAAAGCAATTGCTCCTATTTTGTTGGAAGACATGAGAAAAGTTGCAGTTGAAAGAAAAGGTGAGTCAAATTTCTTCACGTCACAGATGATAAAGGATTGTATCAAAAAAGTGACTGCTGTCACATTACACCAGTCGGTGATGGTAGATAATGAGTTGGAAATAAAAGCATATTATGCAGGACATGTACTTGGTGCTGCTATGTTTTGGATCAGAGTTGGTTCTCAGTCTGTTGTTTATACTGGAGACTACAATATGACTCCAGACAGACACTTAGGTGCAGCTTGGATTGATAAATGCCGGCCAGATCTATTGATTTCAGAATCAACTTATGCAACTACTATAAGAGATTCTAAGAGATGCCGTGAGAGAGATTTTCTAAAGAAAGTTCATGAATGTGTTGAAAAAGGTGGCAAAGTATTAATCCCTGTGTTTGCATTGGGCAGAGCTCAAGAACTATGCATTTTATTAGAAACTTATTGGGAACGCATGAATTTAAAATATCCAGTTTACTTTGCCTTAGGTTTAACCGAAAAAGCTAACAATTATTACAAAATGTTCATTACATGGACTAATCAGAAAATCCGTAAGACTTTTGTCCAAAGAAACATGTTTGATTTCAAACACATCAAGCCATTTGACAAGTCATACATAGACAACCCGGGTGCTATGGTGGTCTTTGCCACACCAGGAATGTTACATGCAGGTTTATCCCTAAACATATTCAAGAAATGGGCACCATATGAACAAAATATGTTGATTATGCCAGGATTCTGTGTGCAAGGTACAGTTGGCCACAAAATTTTAAATGGTGCCAAAAAAATTGAATTTGAAAACCGACAAGTTGTTGAAGTGAAAATGGCTGTAGAATACATGTCTTTTTCTGCCCATGCAGATGCAAAGGGTATAATGCAACTTATTCAATACTGTGAACCAAAGAATGTCCTGCTAGTGCATGGGGAAGCTCAAAAAATGGAATTTTTAAAGGATAAAATTGAAAAAGAATTTAAAATCAGTTGCTATATGCCAGCTAATGGAGAGACAGCCATTATTAATACACCTACAAAAATTCCTATAGATGTTTCTTTGAGATTACTAAAAGCAGAAGCTGTGAGGTACAATGCTCAACCCCCCGACCCCAAGAGAAGGCGAGTTGTACATGGTGTGCTCTGTGTAAAAGATAATAGATTGTCATTCCTAGATATAGATGAGATCTGTGATGAAATAGGCATTAACAGGCACGTAATTAGGTTTACTAGCACTGTACGATTTGATGACCCCGGCTCAGCTGTGAAAACTGCAGAAAAACTAAAATCTCTTTTAGCTGAGAAACTTCAAGGGTGGTCCATTACAATCTCTGATGGCAACATATCTGTAGAATCCGTTCTCATTAAAGTGGAAGGTGACGATGACAACACTAAGAGCATTTATGTCTCATGGACTAATCAGGATGAGGATTTGGGTAGTTATATATTAGGCTTGTTACAATCAATGGTACAGTAAAAATACATTATAAATGTAAAAATCTTAATTTTTTAATAAATAATTTATAAATTATAATTATATTTTTGTCTATGTGCACCATGTAACATCCATATTGCACTTCCCCTGATACCATAAATATAAAAGTTTGTTCATTTCACTTAAATTGCTATTTGGTTCTGGTTTGGAATTTGGTTTCTGAAAAAAAAGTTTTTAATAAATATTCATATAAAAATTTTGTGAGACTAAATAAAAGATGCACAAAGCTGTGGAGGCTAAAACAGTATGTTATTGACAGTATCTACACATAATACAATCTTAGTCCTTAGGTCCTTATTCATCGTGGATTACTGAATAATTTGTTAGCATAAGTAATAATTTTTGATTGTTCTGTAATTAGAGTAACAAGGATAAGCTTTTGATTTTGATTGACATTAAATATGTAGGATAATAATAAGTCGAAAATTAACACAGTAATTCATATGTATCATACGTCTTGTATGTAGGTACTGTGGTCAACTGGTTGGTGGATAAGTTCTATAGAGTGTGATTGAGTGATTCCCCATTCAAACTTCCACCCTCCTTTTCACCCCCTTAAGATATGTTTTCCGGGATGAAAATTATCCTATATCCTTCCCAGGGTCTCAAATTATCTCCATACTAAATTTTATCTAAATCGGTTCTACGTTTGTTTTCGCAATTAATATTATTATGAATATATAAAGCTGGTTTTTTTTGTGGTGCTGGTCTATCGTCATCGGCTTGGGCCTCTGTCTGAACGTTGATAAGTCAGTCAGTGAGTCGCGATATTACTTTTAATAAAAAATATATAATAAAAATAGTTATTGCGAGTGTACCTTGGGAGATAGATACTATTACAAACTTTTCTGTGGGCCTTTTAAGATCTACAATTTTCTAGTAGGTGTTTTGATGTATCTCTTAAAGTTTAGCTAGCGCGGCGTTAGCCATATTATAATTTCTAAGGACGATCGGTAGAACCAAGTATTGTGTTTTCCCATTGGAAAGAAAGATTTTCCTGAAGTAAAAGATATCCTTATCCTAAATGTTAACCCAAGTAATAAGTTATCATTTTACTAAAGGTTGAAATTGGTTCATTACTTTTTGCGTGAAACGCGTACATACAAACATACAGACAAATAGACAAAAAAATAATAGCTATTGTTATGGGGTATATATTATGTACTCAACCTCAACGGTGCTATTTTCATAATCCTTTATCCGTGTGTGCGTGTGTGTATGCGTGCGTGTGCATGTGTATGTGTACCATGGCGGGCGGGAAGAGCCTGCGGAAGTCGGCGCGGTGCAGGTGGTCGCGGTGCGCGCGGCGCAGGGCGCGCCGCAGCGCCGGTGGCGCGCAGGGCCGGCACAGCGCGCACGCCGGCGCCGCGCCGCACTCCTCGCGGCACTGCGCGCTGCACTCTGCGCTGTACACCGCGATGTTCTTCTGCGCCGACACCATGTTCTCCGCTGCTGTACTCTCCCTAAAAATCATAATCTAATTAGTAAAATATTATGCATAAACATTACATATACATATTAGTTACACATAAAAGACCCGAAGCGCTGAGTTTGTGTTCGTTCAGGCTAATCTCAGAAACTACTGTATCGTTTTTCTTACGGTTTTCACTAATAGAATGAGGGATTTATCTAGGAAAGTTTTAGTCTATATTTATAAAATTGCGTAAATAAGCTACCGGACACACAAACGTTCTTTAACTTTTTTTTTTAATTTGGCCATAGAAGCCTTTTGAACATTTTCTGGGATCCTGTTGTACAAGCGTATACATTGTCCATAAAAAGAATTACTGACTCTGTGTAGACGAGTCACAGGCATTACAAGTTTGTGTTTGCTCCTAATATTAATGTTATGCATATCACACTTCTTGGGAAATTCGTGTATATTTTTACAGACTTACATAACATTTTCGTACACGTACTGAGAAGCAACAGCCAATTTTTTTATTTCTTTAAACTCATCTCTTAATGATACTAGGACCTAAACTATAAATTGCACGAATAGCTCTTTTCTGCTGAACAAACATCGAATTAAAAGGACATAATACTATGAAAATAACTAAAATATTATACTATGCGAGCTGTATCTACATCAGTAAGAAGTCTTATTTTTTTACCGCGAACGCTGCAGAGCTGAGTCTACTCGCTAGGGGGCCTATGGGGGCCCCACTGCAATTTCGGATCTATGATAATACCTAGGAATTTAGTGGACTCTACAGGTTTTAACACTTCGCCATTTAATATTACACCATTATCAACAAGTTTAACATTAGGTGTTGAGAATTTTATTAATTTTGTCTTTTTATTATTTGATAATAAATTATTTAAATCAAACCAATAGACAACCTTTGAGAGAGCATCGTTTACATCGTCGTACATTAGCGAATTGCGCTTCACTTTAAAAATAAGTGAAATGTCATCAGCGAACAATATTATGTCATGTTTGTCCTGTGCAAAAAATGGCAAATCATTATCTAATATAAATTAGAAAAAGAAAGGGGGCAAGAATAGACCCCTGTGGAACCACCATATCTAATGGAGCTCCAGGAGATCTCTTACGTCTTTGCCTGCTCTTGTAGATGCCAGGAGTTGCCCATTCACTAAATGACAAGAGACCCCGACTAAGAGAATCTGTTTAATTTTAATTATGAACTTTTTTATTTTTGGAATTTTTCTTTTTGTTTGTGCTCTAAGACCTTGCTTTTTGCCAAATTTCGTAATTCTAGGTCAACGGGAACTACCATATAGGTTTTCGAACCAAAACCTTTAGGGTGCTTCCGGTAGACCTAGAATTGTCAATTTTGGTTAAAAGCAAGGTCTTACAGCACAAGTAAAGGGAAAATTCTAAAAAATAAAAAAGTTGAAAATTAAGGTACCTACATTTTGGTACTTATAAGTTTTCGCGAAAACCTAAATTTGCCCATATCTTTTTATCGTGTTGACTCAGGCCCTTTATTTTTATACACCTAATAGGTACTATAGATCTCAGTATCTGGTATAAATTTCAACTTGCTAGGTCCACCCGTTCCTGAGGAAATCGGTGGTGACACACGGACAGACAGATGGACAAGAGAGTTATTTTATAAGGGTTCCTTTTTTACCTTTTGAGGTACGGAACCCTAAAACGACTTAACGAGAAGGTAAGGCATAACCCTGTTGAAAAACTCCAATAGAATCTCATCAAAAGCGACAAAAGCCACATAGAAACCAATAAATATGTATTGGTTTCTATGTGGCTTTTGTCGCTTTTGATGGGAACTTATTGGAGTTTTTAAATAGGGAAGTAGCGTAGTTCTCAAGCTACCATATCCAAGTTGGATCTGTCACCTAATCAGAAATCAAAAATTACTAAAATTTAAAATCTGACGTTCCTTAGTAAAACATCAATGTAACTGATTGTGTCGAGTCGTCCTTAGAAATTTACATGTCTAACGTTGTCTAACCCTTTAGAGATAGGTACATCAAAACAATGTACTTACTAGAAAATTACGTATCTACACAACATAAGTACAGAAAAGTCTACAATATTATAATATGTCTACTTCATAAGTTACTAATTATTCATATTATCTACTCAACACGTACCTGCCGAGGGACGCACCCGAGTGAAGCGACGGTAAATCGCTAGTGAGTAATATTAATATTACTTATAATGTTTATTGATTCGTCTTTTCTGCAAGTCGCGACGCTGACCGTCAACCGTATCACGTGTGGTTTGATTATAATTATACCTATAGGTATTCTTTAAAACTACAGATCTAAAGAAAATGAATACTTTTTCAAATATTTTCATATAATAACTACTTTAAAGGAGTAGGAATCGTATTTAGATTGTATTTTTCATAGCGGCTGATGAAAATGTTTTATCTTGTAGGCATGTTCTCTATACTCTGTCCCCGCGAGCGTGAGAGCCGCCCCGGTAGGTACTCACGCGGGCGCGAGGCCCACCAGCGACGCGAGGCTGTAGAGCAGCTGCTCGTACAGCAGTCGGTTGGGCGCGAAGTGCGCGGAGCTGAGGTTGGGCGACATGTTGGCCTCCAGCAGCCACGGCCGCAGCGCCGCGTCCACCACCAGGTCGAAGCGCATCAGCTCGAAGAAGTTCTCTTGCGACGGGTAGCTTTTCAACTGCAATATGTGAAGGAGACTTTCGAGAACTTTTGAAATTTTATACGAACGATTTATCTAAAATAAACTTAAAATTTATAAAACACGAAAAAAGGACAAGTCATATTGCGATCAATTGACGCAACTTAGATTGTATAATATTATGTATGACATTCCCATAGCAATGTATAAATGTCAAAGCCTTTAAACTTAACATTTCAGTTGAATTTCCAAATTTCGAGCTCACAGAACTCAATACTATACCGAAGTCCGAGTTCGTATTAGCGCGTAAATATTTTGAAGATGAGAAAACATTTGTTACCAAACAGGCTAATTAAATATGTACCGTTATATTTGCAAAATATAAACAGTAGGTAATTGTTTAGCTTTCGCCCGTAGCTCCGCTCCCTTGGTACGTATACTTTTGTAGTTATAATTAGATAGCTTTAAAACTTTCTTCAACGAAAAAGCTATAAAATGCAAAAAGAAATTCAAATATGACTAGTAGTTCCAGTGATTAGTGCGTTCAACAAACAAACAAACAAACAAACAAACAAACAAACAAACAAACAAACAAACAAACAAAACCTTTCAACTTTATTGTTTCGGACGACCAGAACCAGGGTATGTCTAGTACCCGGAGGTCGACCTGGGACAATCTCCCAGACGTTCTTGGCGTACACGGCAGTATGTCCGTTCGCTGGTAATGTACGCCACCACGCACCCCTGAATGCGTAGCTTGGGTCCCGATCCACTAGGGTTTCTTCGTTGACAGGAGACTATACTTAGAGGCGATGAAATAAAACACAATTTTTCCTTTTTTCTCTCTTGGTTTCGGTTCTTCCTTTTCCTTTTAGTTGTTGCCTCTTCAGTGGCTGTCTTGCGACTGACTCGAATCGAGAAATGGCTCGCCTTTTATTTGGCCCGTTAATACCTTACAGAGAGCCGCGTACTTTGAGCTCGTTTTTCGAATAAAATTTCCCTAAACCGAAACCTTGAGAGTCCTTTTATTTTATGTTTTCAGTAAAACACCTTACACATATTTATTTATTTACATGCCTTACATACTATTATACAATATTAAAACATAATATTCAATATATAATAATTAATTAAAAAAGTCTTAAAACAAAAATATCTAAATTTCTAGGTTGCTACATTTTTACTATACATTTTCCCTTATAACTTTTGAACGGATAGTCCTATCGACCTAATTATTGTTTTATTATAAGTTTTATAATAAAATCTATTATTTAAAACATAAACTATTATGCTATTGCAAGAAACAAAAAATCTCATTTTCAAGTTACGTAATTATATGCTAACATTTTACTTACGTACCTATTCCTTTCAAATTAATGTTAAATAGTCTTATATGATTCAAATAAGCAAAAAATACTCTAAACTAACCTTATTACACTAATTAGAACTTATTTTAACATAATAAATCTAATAAGAATGAGATTTCATATTTACAACAATTATTCATAATACGCTAAAATGACATTGTCCCTATATTAATACACACGTTACTCGAAGATAAGTTTTCCGTCGCCGACATTCTCCCCCTCGTGCTTTGCACCAACTCCTGGACTCGGCGACGCTCCCGGCACCAACAGCACCACTCTCGAACTGGGCCTCCGTAGAACACCTCCTCTGGTCTCGACGTCGACGACTCTGGTCCGCCCGTCTGGTCCAGGATACACATGCAGGATTCTTCCGCGTGGCCAGATGCATCTTGGTAGGCTGTGATCGACGATCAGTACGATGTCTCCGACTTGCAAATCTGTGGCGCTGACTCTTCCTTTGGTCTTCCTTGGTAGTAGAGTGGGCAAATACTCTCTCAGCCAACGTTGCCAGAAGTGATCGGCAAGTCGCTGCGTAGCCTTCCAGGTGTGTCTGCCCACAAGCTCGTTGTCCTCGAAGCTGCCGATTCTTGCTGCGCCACATGATCGCCCGATGAGAAAGTGGTTCGGTGTAAGTGCTTCTTCTTCAGGGTTCTCGGAGAGGTGGGTGAGGGGCCGAGAGTTGACTATGTGCTCGGCCTCTAACAGGAGGGTATGAAGTACCTCCTCTCGTGGTTGCCTTTCGTTGAGCGTGGCGTCCAGTGCGGTTTTAATGGATCGCACCAGACGCTCCCATGCACCTCCCATGTTTGGTGCACCAGGAGGTATGAACTTCCACTGCACACCGATCTTCTCCGCTTCCGAGATAAGGTCTTCTTGCTTCATGGTGTCTAGTGCTTCTTTGAGTTCTTTGTTGGCGCCAACGAAGTTAGTGCCATTGTCGGTGTAGATTATCTTTGGCATTCCCCTTCTCGCGGCGAATCGTCGTAGTGCCATGATCATGCTGTCAGTGGAGAGTGAAGGAGTGAGCTCAATGTGTACAGCTCGTGTTGTTAAGCATGTGAATAGAGCACCCCATCTCTTCTCATGGCGTCTTGCTACGGTGATCGTCATAGGGCCGAAGTAATCTATTCCCGTGCACGTAAATGGAGGGTTTCCGTGCATCAGCCTCTCAGCAGGTAAGTTGCCCACTGGTAGTTCTTGAGGTCTTGCCTTTCTTGTTTTGCACCACTGGCATTGATGTTGAATGGTCTTGATCGCTGACCTCAGTCCTAGCACCCAGAAGCGTTGTCTTACTTCGTTCATTACGGTCGCGTGATTCCCGTGATTGAAGCGGCAGTGAAATTCTTCTATGATGAGAAGTGTTGTCTTGTCCTTGCTGTCGAGTACGATGGGTCGTTTGTAGTCTCTGGTAACCCCTCGTATCGCGTCGATTCTTCCTTTCAGTCGCAGGAGACCTTCTTCTAGCACTACGTCGAGCCTTTTCAAATTGCTGCTGCCCTCTAATTGTTTTCCTTGCTGTAGGCACCTGATGTCCTCTTTGAAGCATTTCTCTTGACTTCTTCTTAACAACAGCGTTTCAGCTTGCTCTAGTAGACTTGTTTCCAATGGTATGTATTTCCTTTCTGACGTTTTTGAAGACAGATGTCGCTTCTCAACAATTTTCTTATTCCTTTTTGTAGTTTTCCAGGTAGGATCTTCTTTGCTGGCGTGGACCTTTTCCTTTCTTCTGCAGAGTTGTATGAACTGCAGTACTCTTGCTGTAGCTCGCCAAAGTCTTTTCCACGACGAGAACTTTTCGGGATCTGGTGATGGATAGGAGCTGCCTGCAGTCGCTACGATGTCCGCTGCCTTTTCTTCGCCAGTGGTTTCTTTCTTGAATGTTCTTGCCGCAGGCTAGTGAACTTCATCTCTTCTTAGAAACCCTGGTCCGGTGTACCATCGGTGTTGGCAGTCGAAGTGTTCTGGTACGTCACGTGTTGCATCATCTGCAGGGTTCTGCGCCGTCGGTACCCATCTCCAGTCCTGTGGTTTTGTGAGATCTTCTATCTCCGCCAAGCGATGAGCCACGAATGTCTTGAAGGTTCTCGGGTCCGTCTTGATCCATGATAGCACGATACTGGAGTCTGTCCAAAACGTCTTCTTTTCTATTTTCAGATCCATTTCTTCCTCGACCGAGTGTGCCAATCTGCTTCCTAGGAGGGCCGCTTGCAGCTCGAGTCTCGGGATTGACACCGGCTTCAACGGAGCGACTCTTACTTTTGCTGCTACTAAGCTGACGTCATAAGTCCCATTTTGATTTTCAGTTCTCCAATATACCGTAGCTGCATACGCCATTTCGCTTGCATCCGTGAACGTGTGCAGCTCCCCCTCGGTGCGACGTGGTGCCAGACATCTCGGGATCTGAAGGTCTTGGAGCAGCTTCATCTTCTCCAGGTAAGTCTTCCATGACTCGTACTCCTTTTCTTCTATCTCTTCATCCCAACCGACGCCACTTCGCCATATGTTCTGGAGCAGCCTTTTGCCTTGGATGAGAATTGGTGATGCTAGCCCTAGTGGATCGAAGGTCGACATCACGGCGCTGGTGACTTCTCTCTTCGTAGGTACCTTGAGTCCTTGTGCCACTTCATCTGGCGTGTTCCGAAGGTTCGCCCTAAAGCCTATGGAGTCCCTTTCTGTAAACCAGCGTAGTCCCAGTGTCTTCTCTTCCTTCTCACCAAGGTCCACCTCTGTCTTCTCAACTGACTCAGTCTTCACGTCTTGCAGCAGGTCGGAGTGGTTTGACGCCCATCCTCGGAGTTCGAAGCCCGCCTTTTTGTGAATGAAGTCCACCTGCGCTGTAATTCTCTTGAAGTCCTCTTCTGAATGGAAGCTGTGCAGGTAGTCATCCATGTAATGGTTCAGCTCGATTGCCTTTGCTGCCTCTGGGTACTGCTTCTTGTAGTCCGCCGCGTTCCGGTTCTTCACGTAGATCGCTGTGCTAGGAGATGATGTCGCGCCGAAGATGACTGATGTCATTCTGTACTCCTTCGGTGCTACGTCACGACGATCCCCTCGCCACAGGAACTTCAAGCTGTTTCTATCTTCTGGCCGGATGCGAACTTGCAGGAACATTTCCTTTATGTCGGCTGCCACTGCAAACGGGCCTTGCCGGAACCTCAGTAATACCCCGAAGAGCGATTGCAGTAGGTCTGGTCCCGGTAGTAAAGCGTCGTTGAGGCTTCTCCCTTTAGACTTGGCTGCAGCGTCGAAGACGATCCTTATTTTCTTCTTCAATGGATGTACCACGGAGAAATGAGGGAGGTACCATGTCTTCTTTGAATCTTCTTGTCCACCAGGTGCTTCTTCTGCATACTTGCTGTCGATTAGATAGGGAAAGACAAAGAAATACACCTATAATAATTGAAACGATGTCAACAATAACTAAAAATAACTTTCTTAAAATGAGTAAGTCCTTCAATATAAAACATAAGACGAAAATCTGTGCAAAACATTTAGGACTACGTAATGAGGTCGACACACCTGTATTTATTTCTGAAAACCTTACTGCGAAGTCCTCTCGTCTATATTTTCTTGGAAGAGAGCTAACAAAATCTAAGTTATACAAATATTGCTGGACATCTTATGGGAAAGTGTATGTCAGAAAAGACGATAATTCGCGAGTGATTCTAATTA